GAGGTGGTGAGTTCTCCTCCGACCTCTTGGCAGCCTTCTGTGCTGAGCACGGCATTGAGCAGTCGTTCACGCTTCCGGCTTCTCCACTGGGTTGCGGAGCGCCGCATTGGCCTGGTCATGGAGGTCGCCCGTACCTCCTTGATCCATGCGGCTGCCCCCCACTTTCTGTGGCCGTTTGCGGTCCGGTACGCTGCGCATCAGCTCAACCTCTGGCCCCGTGTCTCCTTGCCGGAGACCTCGCCCACGCTGCTGTGGACGGGGGAGGTTGGCGATGCGACGCGTTTCCGGGTCTGGGGGTCTCGAGCTTTTGTCCGCGATTCGTCTGCGGACAAACTCTCCTCCCGTGCTATTCCCTGCGTCTTCCTCGGCTTTGTCCCGGACACGCCTGGTTGGCAGTTTTACCACGCCACCTCGCGCCGAGTCTTGCCCTCCCAGGACGTCACTTTTGACGAGTCCGTCCCCTACTACCGCCTCTTCCCCTACCGCACTGCCCCGCTCCCCCCCCCCGCCTCTCTTCCTCGCGCCAGGTGCTGCTGTTGCAGACCCCCTCCCCCCTCAGGGTGCCGCTCCCTCAGGTGTGTCTCAGGTAGACCCGGTTGAGCCTGTTGAGGTAGCTGTCGACTCTCGTCCTGCTGGGGGTGCTGAGCCTTGGGGTGCTGAGCCTGGGGGTGTGGAGCCTGGGGGTATGGAGCCAAAGGGGTGTGGAGCCTGGGGGTGTGGAGCCTGGGGGTGTGGAGCTTGAGGGTGCTGAGCTTGGGGGTGTGGAGCCTCGTGGTGCTGAGCTGCGGAGTCCGGATTCTGGGGGTTCTGAGTCTGGAGGTACTAGGCCTGGGAGTCCTGCACCTGGAAGAGCCCTCTCCTCGGAGCAGCTGCGTGCGTGCTACTTAGAGTACTGCAGCCTCCGGAGAGGTACCGCTCGAGCCGGACGTACTACTGGGACTGGTGCTAGTACTTCTTCTCCCGTTCGGGAGCTCCCCTCCCGCGAGCGGATCCGTGAGTGGTACGAGCGGCGCTGCACTCTTCCGAGTGGCGTGCCTCGTGTTACGGACCCCGCTGCTGTTGGAGCTGCTGCTGGTGATGAGGACCCGGGCGTTGGAGCTGCTGCTGGTGCTGAGGACCCGGGCGTTGGAGCTGCTGCTGGTGCTGAGGACCCGGGCGTTAGAGCTGCTGCTGGTGCTGAGGACCCGGGCGTTGGAGCCGCTGCTGGTGCTGAGGACTCGAGCGTTGGAGCTGCTGCTGGTGCTGAGGACCCAGGCGTTGGAGCTGCCGCTGGTGCTGAGGACCCGGGCGTTGGAGCTGCCGCTGGTGCTGAGGACCTGGGCGCTGGAGCTGCTGCTGGTGCTGCGGACCCTGGTGCGGGTGTCCCTGCTGGCTCTGGTGTCGCTGCTCGGTCTCGGCCGTACTTTGTTCCGCTCCTTCAGCAGGTTCTTGGTCAGCTTCCTCCTCCTTTTCCTCCTCCCTCCTTAACGTGTCCTCCGCCTGTCCAGCTGCAGTCGGCGTTACCGTCTGCCTCCTTTCTCCCTGGTCCTGCTCCTTACACTGGTCCGACTGGAGGTCTTACTGAGCGGCGTGAGCCTGCGTCTCGTCCTGCGTCGCCCGAGTCTCGTCTTGAGTCGCCTGTCCGCACTGCTCTTTCTAGTAGTCGAGTCCAGCGTCAGCGTCTTCCTGCTGTCCCAGGCACTCACCGGATGGCGCTTCGTCCGTCCACTGCTCCACAGCGTGTCCCACTGCCGTCTCCTCCTGATTCCTCTCTTCCTGCTCTTGCTGACCCTGGGTCAGACTCTCTTCGTGCTACCAGTCCTACTGTCACGCGTCTCCTGGCTACTGTTGTCACTGACCCTTCCTTTGAGTCTGCTGCTGTGTCTGCCTTAGTTGCTGAGCTTGTCGACTTTGCTGCTCGCTGTCGTCTAGACTACGCTGCTAGCCTAGTTGCTGAGTCTGAGTCTGTCTGTCCTCCGTCCGTCGGGGGTGAGTGTGCTCTTGGCACTGACGTCCTTGAGGACAGGCAGGAGGAGTTTGAGTGCTTTGCTGCCGCTTTGCCCCATCTCGTGTCCATGCTTGTTGCCCCTGAGGGAGACCCGGATGCACCAAACATCCCGACCCCACGCTCTTACGCAGAGGCGATGGCCGGTCCCTACTCCTCTTAGTGGCAGTCAGCCATGGACACAGAGATGGCTTCCTGGAAGTCCACAGGCATCTACGTCGACGAGGTTCCCCCACCTGGGGCGAACATCGTCAGTGGCATGTGGATTTTCAGGGTGAAGCGGCCGCCGGGCTCTCCGCCTGTCTTCAAGGCGCGTTACGTTGCACGAGGCTTCAGTTAGCGAGAGGGAGTTGACTTCTTCCAGACCTTCTCCCCGACCCCGAAGATGACCACTCTTCAGGTTCTGCTGCACGTCGCCGCTCAGCGTGACTACGAGCTCCACTCGCTTGACTTCAGCACTGCTTTCCTACAGGGCAGCCTGCACGAGGAGATCTGGCTGCACCGTCCACCTGGCTTCACTGGGTCGTTCCCTCCTGGTACCCACTGGAGCCTCCGACGGCCAGTCTACGGTCTCCGCCAGGCGCCTCGTGAGTGGCACGACACACTGAGGACTACGCTTGCGGCTCTTGGGTTCGCGCCTTCTACTGCTGACCCGTCGCTGTTTCTACGCACCGACACCTCACTGCCGCCATTCTACGTCCTTGTGTACGTCGACGACTTGGTCTTTGCTACTGATGACACTGTGGCACTCGCCCACGTGAAGTCGGAGCTGCAGAAGAGACACACGTGCACAGACCTGGCTGAACTGACAAGCTATCTTGGCTTGCAGATCACCCGGGACAGAGCACGCCGCACCATCACCTTGACTCAGTCACACATGGTGCAGCAGGTCCTTCAGCGCTTCCGCTTCAGGTACTCCTCGCCTCAGCCCACTCCTCTGCCTACCGGTCACTCGCTCTCAGCTTTGCCTTCGGATGAGTCTGTAGAGCCGAGTGGCCCGTATCTAGAGCTTGTGGGTTGCCTCATGTACTGGATGACCTGCACTCGACCAGACCTTGCATACCCTCTTAGCATTCTTGCACGCTATGTCGCTCCCGGCCGTCACCGGAAGGAGCACATGGATGCAGCTAAGAGGGTGTTGCGCTACTTGTGCAGTACGTCGGGCATGGGGCTAGTGCTTGGAGGGCGAGTCCCAGTTGTTCTCACTGGGCACTCAGACGCTTCTTGGGCAGACGACCAGGCTACTCAGCGGTCGTCTCAGGGCTACTCCTTCAGTCTTGGCTCTGGTTCTGTTTCTTGGCGTTCTACTCGCTCTTCTTCTGTTCTCAGCTCCAGTTGTGAGGCTGAGATCTACGCCATAGCCATGGCGGCCCAGGAGCTACGCTGGCTCACCTACTTGCTGACCGACCTTGGAGAGCAGCCTCGTTCTCCTCCAGTGCTGTACGTCGACAACAAGGCAGCCATTGCCTTGTGTGAGGAGCACAGACTGGAGCACAGAACGAAGCACATTGCTCTGCGTTACTTCCTTGCTCGAGAGCTGCAACAGCGTGGTCAGCTTCGCCTGCGTTACGTGGCCTCTGAGGCCAACACTGCTGATGTGTTCACCAAGGCGCTTCAGCCTTGTGACCATCAGCGCTTTTGCACTCTTCTAGGCCTTGTGCCTACTGGACCTCACTTGCTTACTTCTTGAGTCTGTTTGTACTATGATCTCTATATATATATCTGCATGTTTACTCTTGTTAGGTTGTGATCATTGTACCTTTTGCTCTATTATAAACCTGCATGTGAACTGGTCTTGTGACCATTTGCTTGTGCTCGGAATTTGTGTGGTATCCTTGAGATCCACCCTGAGCTTGTTTTGCCTTGCTTTGCCTTGAGATCCACCCTGAGCTTGTTTTGCCTTGCTTCGGAATTTGTGTATAGTTCTCCCCCACTTTGCCTATGGGGGTGTGTCAAACATTATATATGTTGTGTTAGTTTAGGCTACAGTGGGTTAGCCTATAGGGGGTGCACAATTATAGGGTTAGGTACTTGTACCTATTTCACTCCTAGTTCATTCATTCCTGTTCAGTGATTCCAACAGATCCCGCATTAATTATACAGAGGTTTCGGGGATACAAACCCTTGTAGGGTAATGCGCCAGGTAAAACAAACCAACGGGAATCCCCTGGCGTGGCCACTAGAGTAATTATCCCCAAATTTGGTGGCCACTCGAGTAATTCAAGGCTACGCGAGTAAAAATGAACTACCAATCCAGGTTCTACAGTAATTCTCTCACATCCACCGCACAGCAGAGCCACGCAAGTCCAACACAGAGAAGGTCATACGCGCTAGTGTCGCCCTTCTTTTGCCGCACAATCCCATGTCGGTCAAAGCAACCGTCATCGTCGTCCCCCAACCCCGCCCACAGCCGTGTGTTTTACTCGCTTTCCTTCCACTCAACTGCTACCCGTCAGCGGAACCCCCAACCCACCGCACGCCATTTCGTCTGTCCATCCATACACACACCACCCAAACCAACCAGTCTATTCCGCACTGGTGGTTGAGTCTGGTTGGTTGGAGCATTCATGCCACTGTCACTTCACTTTGCAGCAGCACAATTGCAAGCAATTTCATGTGAGGGCGAGTCCGAGGGAGGAGGGTAGATCGGCGTGGATGGTGGGGGTGGTGGTGCAGACCATGGGGCATGCTGTGCGCGTGAGTCGCATCAGCAGGGGGGGTGCAGAGGATGCTTCTCTTTCCTTGTGTTATAGATTTTAATTGATTCTTTTCCATTTAGTAGCCGCTTCTTTGCGTTTGTGCGAGAAGTCTGGAGTTTTGTTTGCGTCGCATTTCAAATCATTCATCACCCCCTGTGCTTGCAGTCGTCGCAGCAGCCGCATGCTGCCTAATCTCACCGGACCTTCCACAATTTCGTTCCTAGCAAAGTCGCGGCTTCGAATTTCCCCGCCATCAGATTTCAAATTCAACTAGACGTGCCGTACACGCAACCAATTTCCCTCAGTCGCGCGCCATCATGGGATCCATGGGTAGATTAATCTCCTCGGTCTCGGGCCCGTTCCAGCCGTTCGGCGGCGCCGTGGACATAATAGTGGTGCAGCAGCCGGACGGGTCGCTCAAGAGCTCGCCGTGGTACGTGCGGTTCGGCAACTTCCAGGGCGTGCTGAAGCGGCGCGAGCGCGTGGTGTCGATCATCGTGAACGAGGTGGAGGTGGATCTGCACATGTTCCTCGACACCAACGGCGAGGCCTTCTTCCTCCGCCACACCGGCACCGGCGCTGGTAGCGGCGACGAGGAGGAGGAGGACGACGAGGAGGAAGAGGAAGAGGAGGAAGAGGAGGTTGAGGAAGACGATGAGTTGGAGGAAGAGGGTGCGGGGTCAGAAGGAGGCGAGGAGGAGGAGGAGGAGATGGAGATGGAGGGGCAAGGACAGGGCGAGCCGCAGCAACGGAAGGGAGCAGCCACGGCAGACGCAGCAGGGGTGACAGGGAAGACAAAGGCGAAGGCGAGGGCGGGGGGGGGGGGCGCGGAAGGGCAAGGGCGGGAGGTTGAAGGTGGACGTGCGGGAGATCGAGCTGCTGGAGGAGGAGGAGCTGGCCATGGCGCGCGCGGCGGGCGTGGAGCCGGAGCTGCTCAAGATGATGGCGGAGGCCAACCGCAAGATCCTCACCGACGCCAAGTCGCCCTACCGCGTCGTGCGCTCGGGGAAAAAGCCGCCCGGGTTTAAAGCTGGTGCTGCTGGGAGTAACCGTGATGATAGCCCCGGCGGCAGTCGCGTGCTGTCGCACACGCTGTCGGAGCCCGAGCACCCGTCGTCCACAGGGTCGCTGCCTTCGCTGGGTCGCACGCGGGACAATTCGTCGCTGTCGCGGCAGCTGTTTCGAAGCCACTCGCAGTCCGACTTGACCGACGCAACGGAACCCGCTGCCTCTTCCGCAGCGCCACCCGGGGACGGCGAGGGGGCTGAAGTTACAGGGCTTGCAGGGAGCGAGCGAGGGGGCGATCTCGACGACGCGAGCGCGTCGCAGGTGTTATCGCAGCTGGCGGCGTCGCAGGTAGACCCGTCGCTCAACGTAACCCCGCCTCGGCCCCGTGCGGGCGCGTTACCTGTCGGTGCCGCGACCGCGCTTGCGTCGGTGGGCGGCGGGGTGTCGCCCGTTCCGGGGTCGCTAAGCCGTTCGCGATTGAAGCAGTCTCGTAGTGCGGGTAGCAGCAACGAGCTGGCTGATCCGATGCTGGAGGGAGGGAGAGCAGCGGCAGCGGGCAGCGCGTCGGACCTAGCGCTGGGAATCAACGCCACTGCAGCGCAGCTCGCGTCTGCTACGCAAGCAGCCGTTTCCTCGGGCGCGGGCAAGAGCGTACGCAGCTTGGGCGCAAGCGCGAGCGCAAGCGGAATGAGCGCGAGCGCGCCGTTCGTGGGCATGGTGGCGAGCAGCAGCGCGGGATCGCTCGCGGATCACTCCGACCTCGACCTCCCGCTCCCCCCGCCCGCACTTGCCCCCGCCTCCGCGCCCGCGTCCGTGTCCTCCTCCGCGCAAGACCTCGCGCTGGTCGTTGCGCGCGCGGGGAGCGCGGGGAGCGCGGGGAATGCGGGCTCAGGCGCTGGGGCTGGTCCGGCGCGGAAGGGCGCAAGGGAGAGTGGTGCGTTTGCGGGTGCGGGAGAGGAGGAGGAAGGGAGCGAGGGGAGGGATGAAGCGGATTTGGATCCGGTGCTGAGAGAGGGGAGGGAGAGAGAGAAGCGGTGGCGGCAGGTGGTGGTGCAGGCTGCGGAGGTGATTCAGGATGCGCCGTGGGCGTGCGAGGGCGAGTATGCGGACATGCAGAGGCGCAAGGAGGAGAGCGCGCGGCAGCAGGGCGCAGCGCCAGCGGGCAGGCGCAGCTGGAGCTGGTTCAGCTGGCGGTCAAGGCAGCAGAAGGCCGCTGCTGCCGCCGCCGCTGCTGCTGCTGCTGCTGGTGGCTCGGGAGCAGGGAACGGCGGGGCAGGTGGCGGGAAGGGCGAGGGTGGGGCGAGTGGAGATGCAAAGAGCGGCGAAGGAGAAGTGGGTGTGCGACAGAGAGGGGGGCGGTCTCGCGTGGTGGAGTTCGAAATTGGCGATGGGGAGGGCAGTGGGGATGCGGGAGGGAAGGGAGGGGAGGACAGGAGGCGGGATAGAGGTGAGGAGCGCGGTGGAGGGGACGGTGATAGGGAGAAGGGCGCAGGGACGAGGGCGAGTGGCCGGGAGCAAGGGGAAGGGGAGGAGGCGCATGAGGGCGATGGGCGGGGGAGCGCGGGGCAGGGCGGGGAGGCGGCTTCAGTAGAGCTGATAGAGGAGCTGTTCGACCGCAAGTGGGTGGAGGAGTCCCAGCTCAGGAGCCGCAAGAGCGGACAGGGGGGCGAGAACAGATCGTCCGGGGTCGGCGCCGGGGGGCAGGAGAGAAGGGCGCAGGGGGAGGAAGGAGGAGAGGTAGGGGAGGGGGATGAGGTGGACGGGGAGGAATGGGAAGGGGAGGAGGGGCGGAGGGTGTCGTTTGCGTCTGTGAAGCGGGGCGGCAGTGGGTCGTCGTCTTCGTCCTCCGCCAGCCTGCACAGCCTGTCGCCCGTGGAGCTGTCCCGAACCAGCAGCGCCGACGCTCATGCACACAGCGCCCTCGCTCATGCCATGCCTGCTCATGGCTCTGCTGCTGCTGATACTGCTGCAGGTGCAGGTGCAGCAGGGAGGGGTGTGGATGAAAGGGGAGGGCAGGCAGAGACGGCAGATGGAGAAGGGGGAGAGGTGGGCGGGTCGGGTAAGAGGGATTTGTTCAGGCGAGCGCTGTCGGAGAATCAGCAGTTCTACTCGTTCAAGAAGTCGGCCTCTGACTCGGGGGCCTCTGTGGAGGGATCTGGCGAGACGGAGGTGGCACAGGGGGGACGTGGTGAGACAGGCAGAGTGGAGTCAGAGCACACAAAGGGAGAGCAGGAGGCAGCGCCGGATAGCGAGGCGAAGCAGGATGCGGCGAGACAAGTAGAGGAGTGTGTACAAGGAGTTGAAGCAGAGCCGACACGAGCAGTGGAGCTGGCCAATGGCACGGTGCCACGTGTCTGTGTGGAACCTGATGATGTGGACGGCAGGGATGGTAGCGAGGGTGAGGCGGCAGGGGTTCCAGGAATGGTGGGCGAGGAGGGCAGGGGCGAGGAGGGGCGGAGAGGAGCAGGGGGGGTGGATCTAGTAGCAGAGGACAGCAAGGTCGCTGCTGTTGCTGCCCATGCCGCCGCTGCTCTAGTTGCTGCTGCTCGTGCTCGTGATGCTGAGTTTCCCACTGCTTCTGTTCCTGCTTCTGCTGCTGCTGCTGCCGCTGCTGCCACTATTGCTGATATTCCCACGGATGCCTTTGCTGATGGTGCCGAAACTGCTAGTGCTGACGTTGTTGCTGCTGCTGCAGCTGCCATTGATGCTACGGATGCTGTAGCAGCAGGCGCGGCTTCCCCTGCAGCAGGTGGTGGTGGACTGGAGGAGGCTGCACGGCCAACTGGGAGTGCAGGGGCCCAGGACAGCAGCGCTGAGGCCACAGCAGCACGCACAGCAGCAGGCACAACAGGTGGCAGTGAAGGAGTGATAGGTGTGGAATCCGTGGGTGAGGCTTTGGGAGAGGCAGGTGGACGCTCCTCACTGCCTCTGCCGGCCCCTGTCTCCCATGGTGACAGTACCGAGCGTGGCGGCCATGCCAGTGAGTGTGACAGTATCGATCGTGATGGTAAGGAGGGGCATGAGGGGCTTGGTGTGGGCGAGGAGTGTGAAGGGAAGGGGTTGGTGCAAGTGGAGGGGAGGAATGGGGAGTTGGAGGCAGGGGGTGAGGCTGAGGTGGAGGCGAGAGAGGAGGACGGTGAGGAGGAGGGCCCAGGGAGTGGAAAGGCAGGGGGAGGGGGCAAGAAGAAGAGGAGGAAAAGAAGAGGGAAGAAAGGAAAGGGGGAGAAGGAGGAGGAGAGCATGGGGGAGAGAGGTAGGGAAGAGGAGTGTGGGAAGGTAGGTGAGGCAGGTGAAGGTAGTGGTGGTGGTGGTGGTGGGGCAGAGAGCAGGGAGGGTGTGCGCAGTGCAGAGGCGGGTGAGGCGCACGAGAGAGGCGAGCACGGTGAGAATGATGGCGGTAGCTCACTGCGTGGTGTCATGATGGCAGGGGAGAAGGTAGAGAACGAGGGGGACGAGGGAGGAGATGGGGTAGAGAAGGGCGAGGGAGAAACGGAGGGGGAGGTAAAAAGGGAGGAAGAGGGAGAAGGGCAGAGAGCAGAGGAAAGGGAGAAGCTGGTGGGGATGGAGGATGGAGTGGCAGGTGCGGCTGTGGATGCTAGTGCGGCAGGTAGTAGCGGGAGCTATGGCGTTGGTGAAGTGGCAAGCGAGGTGCAGAAGAGAGTGCGGGAGGTGCAGGAGGAGGGGGTACACGAGGGGTCTGGAGAGGGGGACAGTGGAGGTAGAGGGGAGCGTGACGGGGCTGTTGAGGCACGCAGAGAAGAGGGCGAGGTGGGCGCGGAGGAGAGCGGTGAGGGCGTGGTGGTGGTGGTGGGGGGTGACAGTGCAGGTGCATGCCACAGCAGTGTGGGGCCGGGCGCTGGTGCCGTGGGTGGTGCGGTGGTGCGCGGAGAGTGCGTGGATGAGGGTGGGAAGGAGGGGGCAAAGGAGGTGAATGCCAAGGAGGGTGGGGAGGAGGAGAGTACGAAGGTGGGGGGTGGGGAAGTGAGTGCGAAGGAGGAGGGTGCGAAGGAGGAGGGTGCGAAGGAGGAGGGTGCGAAGGAGGAGGGTGCGAAGGAGGAGGGTGCGAATGAGGAGGGTGCGAATGAGGAGGGTGCGAAGGAGGAGGGTGGTGAGGAGGAGGGTGGTGAGGAGAGCACTCGTTCGACGGAGGGTGAGGAGTACGGGGAGGCGCATGTGAGTGATATGCAAGAGAAGGCACGTGAGGATGGAGTGGTGGTGGCCGCGAGAGAGAGGGTTGGCGCGGCAGCGGTGGGGAATGAGGGGGAAACAGAAGCAGCAAGCAGCACAACTGCTCATGTCGCACCAGAAGCAGCAGCAGCAGAAGCACAAGCAGTATCAGAAGCAACAGTAAGTACAGCAGCAGCAAGTAGCACGGAGAGTGGTGGCGGTGCTGCTGATGATTGTGCTGCTGCTGCTGCTGCTGCTGTTGATGCTGTTGAGGGAGGTGAGGCAGGGACCGAAGAAGCCTCGAGAGAGGGAAGTCTGGAGTCAGCAGCTGTTCCTGAGAGTGAGCAAGCGCGGGGTGACGTGCCAACGTCACAGTGCCAGTCGCAAGTGCAGCAGCAGCAAGAGCAGGGCGAAGGGAGGGAGGAGGGAGGCATGGGGCAGGCAGAGGAGGGAGTGAAGGAGGAGGAGGCGGAAGGCAGTGAAGCAGAAGAACCATTGCCAACGTCTCATGCTCCTGCTGCCCACTCACCTTCCAGTCCTCCTGCCGCTGCTGCTGCTGCTGCCGCTTCTGCTCCTGCTTCCAATTCGACTGCTCTTGCTCTTGTCCTTGCACCACCAGCACCAGCACCAGCAGCAGCACCAGCACCAGCACCAGCATCAGCAGCAGCATCAGCAGCAGCATCAGCAGCAGCATCAGCAGCAGCAGCATCAGCAGCAGCAGCACCATCCGAACCGCCCACAGCCCTGGTACCCAGCGGCCCGCCCTCCGACGCCCTCCCACTCGCCCCCCCTGCCGCTGCTACACGCTCTCTAGACCCGTGTCTGGAGCTGGCGGTGTGCCGGCACCTGCTCTTCCCCAAGATGGGCAGCGATGCAGCGGCCACGGTGTTCAACGCCGCCAAGATCACGTGGCACCAGTTCCGCTGCAACGCCCCCTCCATCCTCTCTAACGACCGCCTCGTTGTGCGCGTGGGCGACAGGTACTACCCCTGGTCCGTTGCTGCCCCCAAGCTCGTCGGCATGCTCGCCTTCGGCCAGATGATGCCTCCCCTGCTAGACGCCGATGGCGCCATTCCTGTGGAGAAACCGCCGCCCCCTCCCCCGCCGGCGCCTAAGCCCGGGCAGGAGCAGAAGCAGCTGGTGGTGAGGGGCGCGGAGGGGGGAGGCTGGCGGTTGTGGCCGTTTGGGGGCAGGCGGGGAGGGGCAGGGGGGGCGGTGGGAGCAGCGGGGATGGCGGCGAAGGTGATGAGTGGGGGGGCGGTGCAGGCGGACGTGATGCTGGCGGCGGCAGCAGCAGCCAACGTGGCGATCCACATGGAGAGGAGCAAGGCCGGAGGGGGCGGTGGCGCTGCTTCCGCCGCCGCAGCCGCCGCTGCCGTGCAGTTCGCACAGCCGGGGCTGTTGCGAGGGGGGCAGCAGGCGCAGCTGCTGCTGCGGGAGCGCGAGAACGAGTTCTACGAGCGCGCCACGCACGTGCGGTCGCTGACGCCCACGTCGCAGCAGCTCAAGGCGCTGGGGCTGAAAGAGGGCAAGAACCGCGTGCAGCTGACGTTCACCACTCGCATGTGGGGGCGGCAGGAGGTGCAGTGCTCGCTGTTCGTGTGGCGGTGGAACACACGCATCGTGATCAGCGACGTGGACGGCACCATCACCAAGTATGCCCTCGTTCACTGTGGGGGGAGGGCCAGGCGGGGGGATGTGGGGATGGGGCAGGGAGGGGGAAGGTGTGATGATGAACCATGAGTCACATGCCTGCCCATGCCTGCCCATGCCTGCCCATGCCTGCCCATGCCTGCCCATGCCTGCCCATGCCTGCCCATGCCTGCCCATGCCTGCCCATGCCTGCCCATGCCTGCCCATGCCTGCCCATGCCTGCCCATGCCTGCCCATGCCTGCCCATGTACTGTGCGTGCCAGCAAGCCATCTAGCCCATGCCTCACCCCATCCATCCCTCGCCCTTTCCTCCCGTCCCTCCTCCCCCTTCTCTCCCCCGCCCCTGATCTCGTGTGCTCGGCATCCCCTCACCCCCCTGCGCATGGCATGGGAGCAGGTCGGACGTGTTGGGGCAGGTGATGCCGCTCATGGGAGCGGACTGGACGCAGATCGGCGTGGCCAGGCTCTTCACGGCCATCCGGGTGCGCCACACCCGCCATGCTTGCTACCGCGCCGTGCCTGCTGCCTTGTCATGCACATGCCTTGCTGCTACCACTCTTCCCGTGCTCCCTGTATCACCCATGCTGTAGCATGGCTCCCGGTGCTCTACCGTGCATCATGCCCCTCGCCCACATCGCCCACACACATGCCATGCACCCACATGTCCTATCGCACGGCCTCGCTCATGTTCATGCCACCTGCACCATTCACCTTCCTGCGTGCCTTCCCTGTCACTGCGTGCATGCCCCTCTCTGCTGCTGCCTCTGCCTCGTCAACGGAGTGCCGCACAGGCCAATGGCTACGAGCTGTTGTTTCTCAGCGCCAGGGCCATCCAGCAGGCTGCCCTCACTCGCTCCTTCCTCTTCTCCCTGCGCCAGGTACGCTCCCCTCCGCTCCCCCCCCCCCCTCCCGTCCGCTCCTCTCGCCTCCCCTCTCCTTTGCTCCCCTGTCCTCTCCTTCCCTCCTCTGCCCTCTCCGTCCTTCCCCTGCCCTCCCTCCCCGCCTGTTCGCACATCAGGGAAACTGTCTTGCCCTGTATATACCTCTCCTGCTTCACCTTCCTCTACTCCCCCCTCTGCTCGCTGCTCTGCACTCCCCACATGCATCTCGCTGCTCTGCTTGCCGCCCTCTTCCTGCGCGCCGTTGTCCCTGCTTGGGCTAATTTTCCAGTGCCTGTGTGACCCCCCTATTCCCAAGGGCCTGCATCGCATTGCCGTCAATCCTCTTCCTTCTGCTCTGTCCATACCTGTGAACCGCTACCTGTGCTCCCATCGTCCTCCCTTGCCGCGCAGCTGTGTGTCCTTCATTCATTCACATGGCATCGTCACACTCGCTCCTCCTCACCTCCTTCCGTCTCCGCTGCCTTCTTTCCTTCTCGCTTTCCCTTACCCGCACTCCCCTCACTCCCCCCCTCACGCGTGCATGCGCGCATGGTGCGCGTGTGGGCCCCTGTGGCACGGCCCCCGCCACCAGGACGGGGAGTTCTCGCTGCCCGAGGGCCCCGTGGTCATCTCACCGGACGGGCTCTTCCCCTCGCTCTACCGTGAAGGTCAACCCTGCGCCACCTTCCCACGTGCTTCTGCTCTGCTCCCTCAGATAACTCGCACCTTGCTCATTGCATGCATGCCACATGTCACACGTGCATATTCACAACTCAACCTTATTGGTGCATGTTCCAGTGTCGTCCTTGTCAATCATCCCTTCCATTTTCTGTGCATCTTCCTCCCCACCCAACAACCGTCCCGCCCCCCTCACCCGCCAGTCATTCGCAGGGCCCCTCATGAGTTCAAGATCGCATGCCTCTCGGTACGTTGCCTCTACCGCTTTTCCCATCACCTCTGCCTCCTTTCCCTCCCTCTCTCACCCCCTTCTCCTTCCTCCCCCAAGTCCCGACTGCTCCGTCCCCGTAATTCACACTAGGGTTCGGAACTCTCACCTGCTTCTCTCCTTGCCCACCCGTTCGCCCTTGCCTTCCTGTCACTCTGTGTTCTGCTGTGCCCCCACACAAGCTCAACGTACAACGCCTTTTCCCTCTCCTTCCACCCGCATTTTTTCCTCCCCTGCCCTTGCACCTCTTCTATTTACATTCCATACCCCTTTCTCCTCCCCCCACCACCCTTCACCCCCACCTACACCCCTCCCCTCCCCCCCTGCAGGACATCCGCGCACTGTTCCCGGCGGACGTGAATCCGTTCTACGCGGGGTTTGGCAACCGGGACACGGACGCGGTGTCGTACGAGGCCATGGGCATTGCACGCGGCAAGATCTTCACCATCAACCCCAAGGCAAGCCGTAGCCGCTCAAACCCACCCCACGCCATGGGGTACCATCTGGGGGGCATGGGGTACCATCTGGGGGGCATGGGGTACCATCTGGGGGGCATGGGGTGTGTGTGCTGAGTGTTCTCCACCAAAGCAGAGGGGGCAAGCATGGGGCGTGCGAAAGGGAATGGGCTGGGGCGGGTGTGGGGAGGAAAAGTGATGGGTGAGCATGGCGGCCCAAAAGAGGTGCTGTGTGTGTCGTGCCATCAGTAATTCCGTGCGAACTCCCCCGACCTATCACTCACGCCCTCTTCCAGCTCCTCTCCTCTGCCCCTACTCCGCCCCTCCCCTTTGCACTATCTCCTCCCCTTCACACTATCTCCTCCCCTTCGCACTATCTCCTCCCCTTCACACTATCTCCTCCCCTTCGCACTATCTCCTCCCCTTCAAGTCCATGTGCTCTATCATCGCCCTCATTCCTCGCACCATCACCACCTCCTCTTCCTCCTCTTCCTCCTCCTCCTCCTCCTCCTCCTCCTCCTCCTCCTCCTCCTCCTCCTCCTCCTCCTCCTCCTCCTCCTCCTCCTCCTCCTCCTCCTCCTCCTCTTCCTCCTCCTCCTCCTCCTCCTCCTCCTCCTCCTCCTCCTCCTCCTCCTCCTCCTCCTCCTCCTCCTCCTCCTCCTCCTCCTCCTCCTCCTCCTCCTCCTCCTCCTCCTCCTCCTCCTCCTCCTCCTCCCCCTCCTCGTCCCTCCCCTCCTCCTCCTCCTCCTCCTCCTCCTCCTCCTCCTCCTCCTCCTCCTCCTCCTCCTCCTCCTCCTCCTCCTCCTCCTCCTCCTCCTCCTCCTCCTCCTCCTCCTCCTCCTCATTATCCCCCTCCCCCTCCTCCTCGTCCCCCTCCCCTCCTCCTCGTCCCCCTCCCCCTCCTCGTCCCCCTCCCCCTCCTCGTCCCCCTCCCCTCCTCCTCGTCCCCCTCCCCCTCCTCGTCCCCCTCCCCCTCCGCGTCCCCCTCCCCCTCCCCGTCCCGCTCCCCCTCCCTGTCCCGCTCTTCCCCCCCCCCTTAAAGCTTCACAATCCCCACATCTCCTCCACTCAATCAATCTTCTCATTCCGTTACCCACCGTCCCGCCCTCTCCCCCCATGCGTGCAATGACCCGCCATGCACCGGTGTGCGGCTGGCAGGGCGAGGTGACGGTGAACAAGGTGCTGAGCGCCAAGTCGTACGTGTCGCTGCACGACCTCGTGCACGACATCTTCCCCGCCTTCGCCCTCACCACGCCCCAAGGCCCTGAACCCGTGAGCCCACTGCACCTCTGCCTGTGCTGCCCGCCCTCCTCCCGCCTGCCTGCCCCACCGCCAGCACCACTGCTGCATGCACGGTTCAACCACGTGGGCATCGTTCGCTCCCGCCGCTCCGTGCTGCTCCTCTTCCCCCTCCTCCTGCTCTGCTGCACAACTTTGCCACTCTGCACTGAACCGTTGTTAGCCTTACCAGCGGTGTGCTCTGCTTTGCTTCTACTCATGCTGTGCTTCGCTCTTGAATCTCTTCTCCTCCTCTCTGTATCCTTGTGCACTTGTGCATGTGTGTGGTTCTGCATGTGAATGTGCGTGTGCGGGTGCGTGCATGCATGGGGCCATGGCATCAGGAGGACTACAACGATTGGAACTATTGGAAGACGCCCATACCAGTCATCGACGAGGACCTGCCTGAACTCCTGTCAGTCACTCCTGCCTGCCTGCCCCATGCCACTCCGTCACACGCATGCATGCATGCACCGTCCCCCACTTGGCCCCCATCTTCCCCACCCCTTTCCTCCATGTCCGTGTGCCCTGCATACCTGCGTCCCACCATCCATCACTCCACCATCTCTCCACCACCTGCCCTGCCATCTCATTGTCCCATGCCTTCCCATCGATTGCGTCCGTAAACAACTGCTCTCTGCCCTTTCCTCCCCTCCCCCCTCCCTCTTCCTGCCTCCCTGCCCGTCCCCTCTCCTCCCCCTTCCCCACCCTCCCAAACAACCCCCCCATGTGCCGTGCATGCAATCCACCCACTGCTACTGCCCTGTGGAGCAGCCCCAAGCGCGCTGCGTCGCGCCGCCGCTGATCGCCAGGGCTCCACGGTGCTGCACTGCACTCTCATTCTCCCACGCGTGCCGCCCACTGCAATGCGGACTTACCGTATTGCCGTGTGCATTGAGATTGCTAAACATGTCACGGAGGGATGGAATGACGCAGGGCACTTGTGTGGGAAACAGCTCTTGGGTTTTGCTGTGGGTTTAGGAATGGTGTTGTGGTGGTGTGGAATGGTGGGGACTAGGGATTAGTTTCCATGTGGGTCTACAACGGAGAGTTGCTGGCTTGAGTAGCGTTCAGAACAGATATTGGTGCTGACTCTGCTGTGCCTGTACATAATGTGATTTTCCTCGTAACGCCTGTTTTAGGGGCACTGGCTTCAAGAAAAACAATGTTGGTATTTATAAGCGAAGCTTTGTTTCCGAACGATTGGTTGCATCATGCGGCGTAGACCGGTTTACTATACCGAGAGAGACACCAGATTCGCGAGAGATAAGCTCATTCGCTATAGTCCTTCCAGAAGCCGCCATGCAATTGTGAAACCAGAAAGCGAGTCCACACAGCAGGTTTTCCTGCACCCTTTTTCCTCGTCCGGTTACTCCAAACCACCCACACCGCCACCGTGCCTCGCCGCTTCGCGAATCGCAGCACTAGGATCTGTTCTACATTCCCTTTTAACGTTCCTATTCACCCAACCGTAGAGTTGACCATTTTCCCACCCCTCTCCTCACCGAATTTTCCGTTTTTTCTTTTTTCCGCGACCGACGCTGTGGGCGGAAATTCCAATCCCGCAAGTCGCCGCACAAGACACTCTTGAATCTGCAGAGATTAGCGTTGCGAGCGAGCGGCAGGGCTTGAGACAGCGAGCGAGGGAGGAGGCGAGCGCGCGCGCGTGCGGGCTGCCATGGACGGCGTGCGCGAGGCCACCGCCAACCTGTCGCTCGCGGACGGTGCCGCGGGCGGCGCAGCCGCGCAGAGCGGAATCGGAAACGCAGGGGGGCGGCGCAACCGCATCCAGGTGTCAAGCTCGAAGCGGCCGCTCTATTTCTACGTGAACCTCGCTAAGGTGCCTCGATATAAGCTGCGCTCTTAACGCGACATGCTGGCGGAGTGAAACGGGAATCATGCCGGAAAGGAGAATGCGGGAGGGGCGTTGAGGGAGTGAGACAGGTTGGTGGTGAAAAGGAACGGGGAGAGGAGGGGAAGCTGGGAAAGAGTGTGGCGGGGGAGGGAGGGAGAGGGGAGCAGGGCGTAATTGGGTTGGGAGCGTGAGAGAGGAAAGGGCGGGATGGGTGGGAGGGCTGGATTGCAGTGGGCAGTGAGAGCGGTAGCAGTGGCGTGGGAGTAAGCAAGGCGGGAGGGGTGAGCGACGAGGAGGCGTGTGCGAGAGAGTGTGGAGTGACTGCCACCACCTGCCATGCCCAATGCATGCCGCCCAATGCATGCCGCCCAATGCATGCCGCACAATGCATGCCGAACGCATGCTGTCCTATCATGCTGCGTCTCACCCTTGCTCGTAACCCCAATCTGCCCTCCTTCCAGCTCGTCTCCTTCACTGTTCGCCTATCCTTACTTCCCTTTCCCCATTCTCCTCCCTTTCCACCGCCCCGTTTTGTCCTGCCCATACCATCCCACCTCACCATCTCATACCCCCACCCTGCCCTCTCTTCCCCCAACCCCCCCTGTCCATCTGCTTCCCCCTCCGCTCCCCTTGTCGCGCCCACAGCGGTTGCTGCAGCAGTTCGAGGAGGTGGAGCTGTCCGCGCTGGGCCTGTGTAAGGGGGGAGGGGGAGGGGGAGGGGGAGGGGGAGGGGGAGGGGGAGGGGGAGGGGGAGGGCGAGGGGGAGGGCGAGGGGGAGGGGGAGGGCGAGGGGGAGGGCGAGGGGAAGGGGGATTGGGAGGGGGAGGGGGAGGGGGAGGGCGAGGGGGAGGGGGAGGGCGAGGGGGAGGGCGAGGGGGAGGGCGAGGGGGAGGGCGAGGGGGAGGGGGATTGGGAGGGGGGGGGGGAGGGGGAGGGGGAGGGGGAGGGCGAGGGCGAGGGGGAGGGGGAGGGGGAGGGGGAGGGGGAGGGGGAGGGGAAGGGGGATTGGGAGGGGGAGGTGGAGGGGGAGGGGGAGGGGGAGGGGGAGGGGGAGGGCGAGGGCGAGGGGGAGGGGGAGGGAGAGGTGGGGGGGAGAGGGGGTGGGGAGAGGGGGGGGAGAGGTGGGGGGGGGGGGAGGAAGAGGGGGAGGGGGAGGAGGAGGGGCAAGGGGCAAGGGATGGAGGGGGAGGGGCGAGGGGTGCAGTGGGAGGGGGAGGGGCGTGTTGAGGGGAAGGAAGGGGGAGGGGGCGGAGGGGGGGAAAGTGGTGGGAGGGGAAGGAGGAGGGGGAGGTATAGGCGGGAACAGGAAAGGAAGGTGATGACGAGAGGGAAAGAAAAATGGTGAAGACATTAAGTGGGAAGATGGTGAACGGGTTGGGATAGAGGGGAGGAAAAGAGGGGAGGGAAGGGAGTAGGAAAAGAAAGCGGGGAGGGAGAAGGGGAGAGGGAGCGAGGGGAGGGAGAGGGAGGAGGGAGAGGGGAAAATGGAGTCAGGAGGAGGGGGAGAGGGGAGGGAGAGAGGGGAGGACGGGAGGGGAGGAGGGGACGGGCGTAAGTATGCAGAGGGGTGGCATGGGAAGGCGGGTGGACGTGCATGGGTGTGCATGGTGGCAGTGTGCGCCACTCACATGTTGTGTCTCACCTGCATGCCACCTCTCGCTGTGCTGCGCCCCTCATGTGTGTGCACCGCACAGCCCCTCTGTGGGCCTCTTTCTTGCTCTCGTCGTGGTGTGTCATCTCATTCTGCTGCATTTCTTCCTGGTGTTTCCTGTGTGTTTCCTGTGTGTTTCCTGTGTGTTTCCTGGTCTTTCCTGTGTGTTTCTGTGTGGGGGAGGGAGAGTGGGAGCGGCTGTGCCTGCAATTGTGTGTGTGCGAATGGGGGCGTTTTTCTATCTGCTCGCATTCCCCTCTTTGTGTGTGCGTGTGAGTGTATGTGTGTCTGTGTGTGTATGAGTGTGAGCGTGAGCGTGCACATGAGCAGCGATCGCAACAGCGGTGACAGTGGCGGAGATACTGAAGAACAACGGCTTCGCCGTCGAGAAGAGTGAGTCCAATCACCACCCTTGCACCTCCAACCCCTCCTCCTCGCTCCACCTTTTCCCACAATCCCATTTCATGCAATCCCTTCTCATACCAACTCATTTCATCTCGTCCTGTCCCATCCAATTCCATCCCTCTCCATTGCCCTGGACATGAACTCTGCAGCCTCGTTCGTTTTCCCTCGCTCTCTTTCGCCCTTCCCCCCTTTTCTCACACGCACTCTCCCCTGCGCGCTGCACGTGCGCGCCCCCCATGGTGGCAGGGGTGGCGTGCAGCACCATGGACCTGCGGGCGGACGACAGGGGGGGGCGCGCTCCCTTCAAGCCCAAGGTCACCCGCATGCACGCCCGCTGGGGGGGTCACACCCATGGGACGGGGAGGGGAAAGAGGGGCACAGTGCTGGTTTGTGGGGGTTAGGAAAGGAGGAGTAAGGCAGGCATGGGTGGTGGGTGAAGTTGGCACATTCAGTCCAGCCAGACAGATGCTGCCGTACCATGCTCACACCCATTGCGCATTCGTCTCACTGCCCTGTCTGCATATCTTTCTCACGCCACTTTGCTGCTCACTGCTCACTTGCTCTACGGACGGGCACTTTGATCATCGTGCGTGTGACCCCACCCCCTAAACTGCTGCGTCACCCCCTCCCCTCTCCTTGTGCATAGTGAGTGCAGCTGGAGGTGGTGCTGGGCAAGTCAGAGCACTTAGAGTCGACTCAAAAGCGTCTCCCCCTCCCCCTCTGCGCGTGCGTGCTGTGAGCAGCTGGAGGTGGTGCTGGGCAAGTCAGAGCACTTTGAGCAGCTCATGGCTGCAGCAGCGGAGGAGGCGCTTGTTGCGCCGCCGGAGACCAGCTGACCCCGCCCCGCCATGCTGCATCGCTGCCATGCCATGCCATTCATTCACCCTGCTTTCATCAACCCGTGCTTTGGCATGTCCGGCAAGGGGCAATAGCAGTTGGGTGTGGGTGAAGCAGTTTTTCCTTGTACGGTAACCTTAGTTGTGCAGGTGGTTTGTTGTCGGTTGGGCTTAGAGTAGATTTTCTCTTATTCCTGAAGCACGCATAACACATGTATCATCCAAGTGCAGAAGTTCTTCTGTTCAGATACTGATTTGTGGTATTTTGTTTCGTCTGGAACCTTCCAACTCCTTTCCATCTTTGGCATGTTGAATCAGTTGAGTGTGCCCTATTTTATCAGTGTAACACGTAATGATTTTCCCGAAATAAATCACTCGTTTTCCCAGTAACACTGATAGATCCACAGTACAGTAGACGGGGCAATGACAGGTAGAACTTTGGTACCAGTATGCTGATGTGCAAAGGCTATAGCCTATAGGTCAGTATCCATATTCTCTCACCCTGCACCTGCAGAGCTGCTGTTCAAGTGCCATAGACGCTTGTCTGTCTCTGAAACCCATCTGTGGGGGGAGGTCCTGTTGAAGTGATGCCTGTGGCTGATGATGTCCTCCTCAAACCCACGCCCCCCCCCGCATGTGGTAGACCCAGCCAGGAACACGTGCGCATGCGCACACAGCAGCTTGTCCAATATGGCCACAATGCCTGCGTGCATGGAAGACAATGCGTGGGAGAGCATTAAAAAGGAGGTTGAAAGGGAGGGCAGAGGGCAGATTAGGTGGCAAGAGATGAAGAGGAGGTGGTTGGGAGGGGGTGAGGGTTGGCACGGCACACAGGAGCAGCTAGTGGCAGTCGTGTGGAACATGTTGGCAGAAAGGAGAAGAGGCATGGCACAACGCCTGTGGCAGGACAATGTTGCCACGGGGCTGCCACCCAGACTCCCAAGAGCCACGCACGCACGCAGGCAGCCAGAGAAGCAGCGTGCACTGACCGGGGTCATAGCGTTAATATCAGGCATGAGCTTGTCTACCATCAAGGTTACTTCTGAGTCGACTCAAAAGCCACCCAAGCAGCGTAGCGTGCACTGACCGGGGTCGTAGCGGTTGATATGAGGCATGAGCTCGTCCACCATCACTGTGCCCGCCACCTGCTCCCTCAGCCACCGCAGCTTCTCCTGCGGGGCCGCCAGCACCCGCTCCTGCCCTTGGAACCGCCACGTGGTTTCTTTCCACGAGTCGGAGCGCACGAGGCTGCCCGCGTGGTCGTCAAATGGCACGTCGGCGGCGATGAATACGGCGGAGATGTTGTGGCGGCGCTTCATGGCGTTGATGAGGTCGCGCGCTGCCTCCATGCACCCCGACATGAGCTCCTCCAGCACGCCCGCCTCCACCTTGAACCCCCTCCTCACTAGCTTATGTGCCTGCAGAGTGCGTGAGCTGAGAACGGGTTTGCGTTGCGGATTCATTTGACTCATGGGCTGTGTTTGAGGTAAGTTTGAGCCTTCTGAGAAGTCAACTTTCATCAACTAGCATGTCGCCATGATGGCTTGTGGCTTGTGGGCTGCCACCATCCAGCCGACCAAGTACACAGAGGTTTAAGGCGCTGAACTCACGAGGTGGAAGGCGATGAACTCATGAGGCGGAAGGCAATGAACTCACGAGGCGGAAGGCGATGAACTCACGAGGTGGAAGCGATGAACTCACGAGGTGGAAGGGGATGAACTCACGAGGTGGAAGACGATGAACTCACGAGGTGGAAGGCAATGAACTCACGAGGTGGAAGGCGATGAACTCACGAGGCGGAAGGCGATGAACTCACGAGGTGGAAGGCGATGAACTCACGAGGCGGAAGACAGTGAACTCACGAGGCGGAAGGCAATGAACTCACGAGGTGGAAGGCGATGAACTCACGAGGTGGAAGGCGATAAACTCACGAGGTGGAAGGCGATGAACTCACGAGGCGGAAGGCGATGAACTCACGAGGTGGAAGGCGATGAACTCATGAGGCGGAAGGCAATGAACTCACGAGGTGGAAGGCGATGAACTCACGAGGTGGAAGGCGATAAACTCACGAGGTGGAAGGCGATGAACTCACGAGGTGGAAGGCGATGAACTCACGAGGTGGAAAGCGATGAACTCACGAGGTGGAAGGCGATGAACTCACGAGGCGGAAGGCAATGAACTCACGAGGTGGAAGGCGATGAACTCACGAGGTGGAAGGCGATGAACTCACGAGGTGGAAGGCGATGAACTCACGAGGCGGAAGGCGATGAATTCACGAGGCGGAAGGCGATGATCTCACGAGGCGGAAGGCAATGAACTCACGAGGCGGAAGGCGATAAACTCACGAGGTGGAAGGCGATGAACTCACGAGGTGGAAGGCGATGAACTCACGAGGTGGAAGGCGATGAACTCACGAGGTGGAAGTCGATGAACTCACGAGGTGGAAGGCAATGAACTCACAAGGTGGAAGGAGATGAACTCACGAGGCGGAAGGCGATGAACTCACGAGGGGGAAGGCGATGAACTCACGAGGGGGAAGGCGATGAACTCACGAGGGGGAAGGCGATGAACTCACGAGGTGGAAGACGATGAACTCACGAGGTGGAAGGCGATGAATTCACGAGGTGGAAGGCGATGAACTCACGAGGCGGAAGGCGATGAACTCACGAGGTGGAAGGCGATGAACTCACGAGGCGGAAGGCGATGAACTCACGAGGTGGAAGCGATGAACTCACGAGGTGGAAGGGGATGAACTCACGAGGTGGAAGACGATGAACTCACGAGGTGGAAGGCGATGAACTCACGAGGTGGAAGGCGATGAACTCACGAGGCGGAAGGCGATGAACTCACGAGGTGGAAGGCGATGAACTCACGAGGCGGAAGACAGTGAACTCACGAGGCGGAAGGCGATGAACTCACGAGGTGGAAGGCGATGAACTCACGAGGTGGAAGGCGATAAACTCACGAGGTGGAAGGCGATGAACTCACGAGGTGCAAAACGATGAACTCACAAGGTGGAAAGCGATGAACTCACGAGGTGGAAGGCGATAAAATCACGAGGTGGAAGGCGATGAACTCACGAGGTGGAAGGCGATGAACTCACGAGGTGGAAGGCGATGAACTCACGAGGCGGAAGGCGATGAACTCACGAGGTGGAAGGCGATGAACTCACGAGGCGGAAGGCAATGAACTCACGAGGTGGAAGGCGATGAACTCACGAGGTGGAATGCGATAAACTCACGAGGTGGAAGGCGATGAACTCACGAGGTGGAAGGTGATGAACTCACGAGGTGGAAAGCGATGAACTCACGAGGTGGAAGGCGATGAACTCACGAGGCGGAAGGCAATGAACTCACGAGGTGGAAGGCGATGAACTCACGAGGTGGAAGGCGATGAACTCACGAGGTGGAAGGCGATGAACTCACGAGGCGGAAGGCGATGAATTCACGAGGCGGAAGGCGATGATCTCACGAGGCGGAAGGCAATGAACTCACGAGGCGGAAGGCGATAAACTCACGAGGTGGAAGGCGATGAACTCACGAGGTGGAAGGCGATGAACTCACGAGGTGGAAGGTGATGAACTCACGAGGTGGAAGGCGATGAACTCACGAGGTGGAAGGCAATGAACTCACTAGGTGGAAGGGGATGAACCCACGAGGTGGAAGGCGATGAACTCACGAGGTGGAAGGCGATGAACTCGGATCGGTAATGCACCGCAATGTACCGGGGAGGCAGGTGGGCCATGGCTCGATGTGCCATGGCGTGCCACTCCTTGCTGTACGGAAGCATCTGGAAGGAGATGGAATCTGTGGGAATGTTGAAGCTCACGCGCTCGAACGTGGTCTTCACCCACACGAGCACGTCCGTGTGCCGCCTGCAGCCGTGGAATGCATGGGAGATGCAGAATAATGCACACGGGAAGACACCGCTTGTGCATAGGAAGGATGCTGTGCTGGCCTACTTGCTAAGACCTCATGCCTGCTTTGTTAACATGCGTGCAATGGCAACCTGACAAATGCTGCAATGGTAAGCCCTGGGCTGCGAGAACAAGAAGGGGAGGGATGGATGTTATGAGTCATCTCTTTCTTCAGATCATTTTGGCATCGTGGGATATCGATAATCAAGCGGATCAGCATGGAGAGTGACGGCAGTCAGCATGGAGAGTGACGGCAGTCAGCATGGAGAGTGACGGCAGTCAGCATGGAGAGTGACGGCAGTCAGCATGGAGAGTGACGGCAGTCAGCATGGAGAGTGACGGCAGTCAGCATGGAGAGTGACGGCAGTCAGCATGGAGAGTGACGGCAGTCAGCATGGAGAGTGACGGCAGTCAGCATGGAGAGTGACGGCAGTCAGCATGGAGAGTGACGGCAGTCAGCATGGAGAGTGACGGCAGTCAGCATGGAGAGTGACGGCAGTCAGCATGGAGAGTGACGCCAGTCAGCATGGAGAGTGACGGCAGTCAGCATGGAGAGTGACGGCAGTCAGCATGGAGAGTGACGGCAGTCAGCATGGAGAGTGACGGCAGTCAGCATGGAGAGTGACGGCAGTCAGCATGGAGAGTGACGCCAGTCAGCATGGAGAGTGATGGCAGTCAGCATGGAGAGTGACGGCAGTCAGCATGGAGAGTGACGGCAGTCAGCATGGAGAGTGACGGCAGTCAGCATGGAGAGTGACGGCAGTCAGCATGGAGAGTGACGGCAGTCAGCATGGAGAGTGACGGCAGTCAGCATGGAGAGTGACGGCAGTCAGCATGGAGAGTGACGGCAGTCAGCATGGAGAGTGACGGCAGTCAGCATGGAGAGTGACGGCAGTCAGCATGGAGAGTGACGGCAGTCAGCATGGAGAGTGACGGCAGTCAGCATGGAGAGTGACGGCAGTCAGCATGGAGAGTGACGGCAGTCAGCATGGAGAGTGACGGCAGTCAGCATGGAGAGTGACGGCAGTCATCATGGAGAGTGACGGCAGTCAGCATGGAGAGTGACGGCAGTCAGCATGGAGAGTGACGGCAGTCAGCATGGAGAGTGACGGCAGTCAGCATGGAGAGTGACGGCAGTCAGCATGGAGAGTGACGGCAGTCAGCATGGAGAGTGACGGCAGTCAGCATGGAGAGTGACGCCAGTCAGCATGGAGAGTGACGGCACGCACCACTTGTTCAACTTGCGGAGAATTGCAGAGCTGTTGGCAGGCATGATGACGTCAAGAGTGTTGCGTTTGGAGGGCGCGTGCCCCATGCCATACACCATGAGCTCGCTCAGCATGTCCACCAGACACCCTGCCCACCACGCAGCACGACACACAGCCTCTGAGACATTTGCACAGCTAATTCTGCATGGAAACGGGAAGGATGGGGAGTTAGGAAAGTGGAGAAGAGGAGGAAGCAGCATGTGATTGCAGAGAGTGCATGTGTTGCTTGATGGGGCACGATAGGAAGGAATGTGATGGAACTAACAGGGGTGGCATGGATGCGTTGCGGTGGGATTGGCTGTGACGTCACGTGATAGGATGGGATGTAATGTGATGTGCTGGTATGGAATGAAACAGTTGGCGAATGAGAAGGAGTAAGAATGGAACGGGATGGAAGAATGGAACGGGATGGCATGAGATGGGCTGGGATGGGCGAATGGGGAGTTTTGGAAACTTTTAGTTGGTGCTACTTGCTTTGAGTGAAGGGCATGCGCCATGTGAGGTGCGTCTGCACATGCACGAAGGCCACGGAGGGGCTGGCGCCGCGTGCAGCAGCAGCAGCAGCAGCAGCGAAGGGCGGGGTGAGAGTGGCTCTAGCGAGGAGCAGGAAGAGGTCGGGCGAGATCCAGTGCGTGTCGATGCTAGCGAGGTCGAAGTAGTCGCACAGCGGCAGGGCCCCGCCCAGTGAGAGGCGGCTGCGACTGCCCTGTTGTGGTGTGGCGTGGGGCACAGAGGAGCGCGTGGAGTGGGAGAGAGTGGGAGAGAGGGGGAGAGAGGGGGAGAGGGAGGAACGGGAGAGGGGGGAGAGGGAGAGAGGGCGAGAGAGGGAGAGGGGGAGAAGGGGAGAGGGGAGAGGAGGGGAGGAAGAGGACGGGAGAGGTGAGAGAGGGAATGGGGCGGAGAGGGAATGACAGGAAGTGGGGTTTCAGAGGACAGCAAAGAGGGGGGGTTTCCCACGGAGAGGAAAGGGGAAACTTAAGCAGAATATGCGGGAGACAGCAGAGAGTGTGCAGAGAGGTGTGCAGAGTGGTGCACTGGGAAGCACAAGGAGTGGCACCTTGGGCAGCACGAGCGTGCGGTTGGTGGCTTGGGCGAAGCGTGCGGCCTCCACGAGGTGAGAGCGCGTGTTGGAGAGCTGCTCGTGCGAGTACGCGAACACCAGGAACCTGCGCCTGCTCGTGGCCTGCGGGGGATGGATTGGATTGGATTGACGCATGTGCAACATGGGGCTCGAGGGGTTTAGGATTCTCAATAGCGCTTGAGTGCACTGGCGGATTGAGGGGGATGGAATGGAGAGAGTGGGAAATGGAGCGGGCTGGAGGGACGGGGGAGGGAGGGGAGGGAGTGGGAGGTGAAGAGGCAAAGTGAGGAAACTTGCAATGGAAGATCGACGGAAGACAGCAGGGTGAAGGGAGAGGGGGGAAATAGGGAAGGATAGTGAAGAAAGACGGAGGAAAGGAGGACAGCTTAAGATATGTCAATAGTGCTTGTGTGCCCTGGTGCATGAGGGACCTTGGAGCGGAGCGCGTGCGAAATGAGGCAAGGGAAGGGGGAGGCGAAGGGAGGAAGCGAGAGGTGCTGGTAAGAGTGGGCAAGGAGGGGAAGCTTGCGTGTTCAGATGGACTGGGGGCAGAGAAAGCAGAGGCGCGCACGAGGGGAGGAGGGGCGGGGGAGGAGGGTAGGGAAGGAGAAGGAGAAGGGGGGCACCATGTCATCAGAGAAGGGCATGTGCGGCACAGGCCAGCACGCCTCACGCCACCACCCGCACTTTGCTGCTGCTGCTCCCTCTCCTCCTGCTTCTCCTGCTCGTGCTCCTGCTTCTGCTCCTGCCCCTGGCCCAGTTCCTGCTTCTCCTCCTGCTTCTTCTGCTGCCACTGCTGCTGTCCCGCCCTCGCCACGCGCATTCTCCTTGTCGCTGCATTCCCCGCTCAGCCGGGACTCTATCGCGCGCACCCCGCGACACACGGCCTCCACGCCCGCTTCTATCCGCGCCAGCGACGTCTGGTTGCGCCTCACCACCTTCGCCACGTACGAACTCGCCGCAGCTCGCGCCATCGCCGCCCGCCGCCAGCCCGCAGAGCACAGCAGCGCGGCGGAGTCTTCTGGGGCAGCAACGGCAGGCACAGCAGCAGGAGCAGCACCGCCACCAACTGCAGCAGCGGCAACGGCAGCAGTGCTGGGGCTGACAGAGTCAGCAGGAGCGCCCAGAGTTTCGTCATTGGTTCTGGTGGCGCCATTTGCGCCGGGAGCGGTACTAATGGTGCTATCGGCCGCAGCACGGCTATCCGCGGGTCTGTGAGCATCCCGTGCGAGCTCGCCGTGGGGCCTCGGCGGCAACGGCGCCTCCGCCTGGCAGTCCGCCTCCGACTCTCTCCGCCTCGCTTCCGCTGCAACCCGCTGCAGCGCGTTCCGCAGCTCCGCTCTGCACGCGGCGGCGCGCGCCGCGCCGCGCTCCTGCGGCGCAGACAGCGCGGCCGGCCCGTCGCCGGGGCCGTTTGGGTAGAAGGGGTCGGGGAAGCCTCTCATGGCCGGCACGCAGTCGGCGCTCATCGCGAGCGGCGTGAGATCGCCGCGCGGTTGACTGGGAGGAGCGTGAGGCGCGGAAAGGCCGCTGCCGGTAAGGGAAGCACAACTGCGAGAAGTGTTGGCGAGGGACTGGGTTACTAGCAGAGGGACGGGAGGGGCGCGAGCGGTGCGATGATCACGCCAAAGTAGGATGCGAAAGGTGTAAGGTGCGTCGGCCGATAATGACGGTGCTATGAGTTGATGGTAGCATACTCGAGTGAGGCATGAGAGCACGACCAGTAGCGCGAACGAGCGCACTACTCGACCTACGACGGACCTACTACTGGTAGAGAGTCCTCTCGCCCGAGACAATATGAAAGCCATGAGGTCAACCCGCCTCGATATCCGCAGCACTCGCATTACTCATACTAGAGTAGGTCATAGTAAGTCAGCAACACCAGGTCATTCACCACTACACCCTCTCTCGCGTCATACTGGCATTGGCTGTTTGCACCGGAAGGTTTGTGTAACTGCAACGTCCCAAAACGTCTTCAAAACATAACCTACAAGCACAGTCACGACTGCCAACTTGGTACTGACTGCTGTTGACTTTGTCAAGTAGCTGGAAGTGTGGATGAATGTACACCCTCTTTCTCGCCATTGTGAACTCGGTTATAGTGAAGTCAAGATGTGAAAAGCACGGTTAACGGTGGTTAGATTAAGTCTAGGTATGGTTCAATCAGACAAATCGAAGGTAACTAGGTTTTCCATCAGTTCAGCACAGTTCAGTGTAGTGAGAAACAGGGTGTAGACATCCGTGAACAGAGGATTCCCACTCGTAAATTAGCCAAAATTACCGGGAACCAAATTCACCAGCGACATTGACAATTGGTCCACAGATTTCGTGACAATTGACCTTCTTCACTGCCACATGTGAATATCCATACTAACCCCCTGCCACGTCAGAACGAAATTGCTTCTCGCAGCATTAAAATGGGACAGCTTCATCTGCAATCTAATTAAAGCCAGGGTCTCAAGTAGAGCGTTTGGGGTCAACTGCAAAGCACTTGGCGGGAGTGGTTACTGTGTGACTCAAACCGAAAACACGGTTTGGTTGGAACGACAGAAACCTACCCTGCGACAAACAAAACACACCAAGCGACTGACCCTAACAACCAACTGGTCGCAAACACAACACGCCACTCCCACTCACAAATGCAACTGCACAACAAGCAGCGCCTTACATGAGACTACGACTATGACTCCTCGATAGCAATCACGCCACCTCACACGCGGTTAGCACAGCACCCCACGCTCATAAACTACCAACGACCAGCCCGACGCGCACACGTTTTGTCCACTACCCCGCGCAATAAACACATTAGAAATCGTCGTCTCCGAGGCGCCCTGCCAACAATGCGAGACGGGAGGCGCCGTAGGCGCAATGCACACGGGTCATCCCACCTTCGCCCTAGGAACGAAAACCAAGGTTCCCACGAGGGCCACGTGCAGGTACGCGACGACACGACGAGCCATGGTCGACCACGCCTATAGTCGGGGGTACATCAGCTCAAAGGACCGCCACACACGGAGTCCGCGACCAGGGTCCGACACATTGGCATGAGCTTACGCCATGCAGCAGGATGAGTTCCCATATCGCGCCAGACAAGCATTACGGATGCGAGATAGCGAAAAACGGTGACACAGCAAGCGTGGAAGCCGTGCAAAAAGGGCGATGCAGGGTTGATCTCGGACATTAGTAGCCTCAAAACGGGAAGTGCTGCACGCATTTGACAACACGGCGCGCAAAACAGGCCAGCGCCGCGTAGGAAAAGCATAGCGACGCCCATATCTTGACAGCGCAAACAAAAATCCCACGTCGCCCCAGACAGGAGGGCAGCGCGGCGCATACGAGGGCAGCGCCGCGCATATGAGGGCAGGGCCGCGCATTAGAGGGCAGCGCCGCGCAAACCAGGGACGCCCCACGCATATGAGGGCAGCGCCGCGAATGGACAGGGCAGTGCGGGGAAGGGGAGGCCAGCGGAAATGCACACGAACAGGGACATCATGAGACCCATGCGCTGTGCAGGGATGGCCAGCATGCGCTGTGGCATGAAGTGGCCATCACACGTCTAAAGGGGAGTGGGAGCTGTAGCGTAGCGCGCCACAAATTCCCTTAGCCAGCCTGGCCACACATTCACCACATGTGCAATCTCACATACAGATAACACGCAAACGGGCACTCACAAAGCCAGCACACTCACACCGCCCCAACCCTATCTCATATTTGCCTCCTTCCCATGCTCAAATACCCACTACTCGCACTTGGCCGTTCCCCACCCTCCTCACTCGAACTCCATTACCCTACCCTCTCACATTTCCCTACCAAGCACTGTGACAATCCCCTAACCTGCCCTATCTTATTCCCCGTGCTTGCACTCTCACCTTCCCCTACCCTTCACACACACAACCCCCACCCTTGATTCCCACATTCCCCTACCCGTCACTACCACATTCCCCTACCATTCACACCCACATTCCCCTACCCTGCACGGTGACATCCCCTTACTCTTCAGTCCCACATCCCCTTTCCCATCACTCCCACATCCCCTTACCCATCACTCCCACATCCCCTATTCGTGACTCCCACAACCCCTTACCCTTTACTCCCACATCCCCTTACCCTTCACTCCCACAACCCCTTACCCTTCAATCCCACATCCCCTATTCGTGACTCCCACATCCCCTTACCCTGCACTCCCACATCCCCTTACCCTTTACTCCCACATCCCCTTACCCTTCACTCCCACAACCCCTTACCCTTCACTCCCACATCCCCTACCCCTCACTCCCACATCCCCTATTCGTCACTCCCACATCCCCTTACCCTGCACTCCCACATCCCCTAGTCGTGCCTCCCACATCCCCTTACCCACCAATCCCACATCCCCTGACCCTTCACTCCCACATCCCCTACCCCTCACTCCCACATCCCCTAGTCGTGACTCCCACATCCCCTTACCCTGCACTCCCACATCCCCTTACCCTTTACTCCCACATCCCCTTACCCTTCAATCCCACATCCCCTTACCCTTCACTCCCACATCCCCTGACCCTCACTCCCACATCCCCTATTCGTGACTCCCACAACCCCTTACCCTTTACTCCCACATCCCCTTACCTTTTACTCCCACATCCCCTTACCCTTCAATCCCACATCCTCTTACCCTTCACTCCCACATCCCCTGACCCTCACTCCCACATCCCCTATGCGTGACTCCCACAACCCCTTACCCTTTACTCCCACATCCCCTTACCCTTCACTCCCACATCCCCTTACCCTTCAATCCCACATCCCCTCACCGTGACCCCCACATCCCCTTACCCTGCACTCCCACATCCCCTTACCCTTTACTCCCACATCCCCTTACCCTTCACTCCCACATCCCCTTACCCTTCAATCCCACATCCCCTATTCGTCACTCCCACATCCCCTTACCCACCAATCCCACATCCCCTTACCCTTCACTCCCACATCCCCTGACCCTCACTCCCACATCCCCTATTCGTGACTCCCACAACCCCTAACCCTTTACTCCCACATCCCCTTACTATTCACTCCCACATCCCTTTACCCTTCACTCCCACATCCCCTTACCCTTCAATCCCACATCCCCTATTCGTAACTCCCACATCCCCTTACCCTGCACTCCCACATCCCCTTACCCTTCACTCCCACATCCCCTTACCCTTCAAGCCCACATCCCCTATTCGTCACTCCCACATCCCCTTACCCACCAAACCCACATCCCCTTTCCCTTCAATCCCACATCCCCTTACCCTTCACTCCCACATCCCCTTACCCTTAACTCGTGCCATGGGAATGGGTTTGTGTAGATGGGCGTTACTCACATCCACGCGAGGCCGAATGGGGAACTGTGACCTTCATGGACCCCATAACGCGCAAAATAATGCACCAAGTGACCAAGTCGAGGGTAAACGAGAAGTCTTCCTCGACTGAGCTAGAAGGGATCGCTTTCAAGGAGGGCCTGAAGGAGTTAGCTGCCATGGGGGTGCACTTAAAAGGGATTATTTCCGATGATGGCAGTTCTTTTAAGACAGCACTTGCGGAGTTAGGGCTTGCACATCAAAAAGATGTGTGGCACAAGGCAAGAGCACTTTACAAGAAGTTTCTGAAACTATTGGTAGATGTGCTACGAGAACCGATGGAAGTTGAAGCCGCAACGTGCACTGGGGATTTGTGGCTGTGCACTGCCGCACAGTTATGGGGGTGGCTGAAACAGCACGGCGGTGCAACAGAAGGTCTAAGTGGCAAGTCATCAAAGACAGATCTCATCAAATCTGTATGCCCAACCCTCGGTAAGTTTGCATACGAACCAAACGCTGTGCCGACGTCGAAGTGGAAATTTCCTGATTTGCGGAAGGTACTACGGGTGAAGGAGCGTGGAGGGGGGGGGCTGGCCAGCGTGGCCAAGCGCCAAAAGACAGCGAGGGATGGGCTGGGACAAGGCGATGTGGGACATGAACAGGCTGTGACTGTGGAAAATTCCCCGCCTGTGCCGACATCAGGAGCGGATGGACCCCCTTACGGATGTCACACGACTGTCGGTGCAACCACGGCAGAACGCGCCTCGAGTGTGGATGCAGCCACGGTTGCGCAGCCGTCTGGTGCATCCATACCGGAGCAAGTCATCAACTTCCAATGGGCCGGTGTGCAACAACTCTGGGAGTTCGACCCACATCCAACGCATGGTGTTCCTGTGTCTGCGGAAGCCGAATACGTGTGGCTCACAACGGATACAATGATGGATGGAGAGCCAGAATGTGCGCCAGGGGGTGGAGGAGCGGATGAAAAAGGTGAGATGGGGTTTGGGCATGTTCCGGTCTCGTTTTGGGCAAGCATGCCATCATCGATCTTGGACATCCATTCTGTACATTCGAGTAATTTCCGCACTTTCTAGCCACCATCGTTCAATTCCTGTCCATCTCGTACCATCCGGTCATTTCCCACATTCCAGCCACCTTTGTTCCTTGCTGTCCATGTCGTTCCATCAAGTCATTTCCCCAGTTTCAAGCCACCATCGTTCAATGCTGCCTATCTCGTACAATTTGGACATTTTCCTCCATTTTGTTCCAACTTTGCGCCGCGCTCTCCATCTCTTATCATCCAGTCATTTCCCCACTTTCTCACCACCATCGTTCATTGCCATCTCGTACCATCCAGTCAATTTCCCACTTTCCAGCCACCGGGGGTTCCATGCCCTCGTTCATTGTACCATCCAGTCATTACCCACTTTCCAGCCACCAACATTCATTGCTGTCCATCTCGTACCAAGCAGACATTTCCCCACTTTCCTTCATCGTGTGCTCCTTGCACTCCATCTCGTACTATCCAGTCGTACCGGGCAGTCCATTTCGTGCCTTGCATCGCATTGCCCTTGGAGAACGCGGTTCACAAGCTCTCTTATGCATTTGCCATTCGTGTGTGCAGAGCAAGAGGAGTTGCATGCTTCTTCTATGGACACGATCGAACCAGCCAACGCGGATGACAATTTGCGTTGGACCGAGAGGGGTAGTGCTAAAAGGAAGCGTGGTGAGTCCGGCGCGGGCCTAGTTGACGAAGAACCGTACTATGAGGTGACGCTGGCACAACGGTGGAGTACGCACTTCAACCATGTGATGGTGAATTGCAATACGATGGTGAAGAGTGGACAGACCCCATCAGCGGAACGTGTTGCACATCAACTTGCCGTGTCTGCAGACCATTGGGCAGGGATTCACAGCAGCTGCGGGCATGCGGGTGAGGTACCTCGATGCGTGTCAGAGAAATGGGGACCGGAGAGTGCAGTTTACAAGCCCAACTCTGAGGCCCATCTGGCACTCCGAGAATGGCTTGCTGACCATTGCAGTGCGAAAGAAATGGAACCCTACGTGCAGGGCGCGAGTAACTGGGTGAATGAATCATTTCATTCCCTAATAATCAAGTACGCACCGAAGCGGATCCATTTTCAGAAGAGTATGGTGGCTAGAATAGGTCTTTCGGTGTTGCACTGGAACCAAACGGTGTCACGTCTTGTTGTGGCAATCAGGACACGCGTGCGGAAGGCAACTAGGGTAAGGCGTGGTAGCAAGGAGCGGATCTTGTCGGACATGGACTGGAGCTGGTTGGACAAGCTCATGGCTGATTGGCGTGATATTGGGCTGGTACGGGATGATGCAGCGCCGTCGACTCAGCGGGATGAGGAGGCTGAGTTGACGGAGCCGCACTCTGTTGATGCAACCCCTGATACGCCAGTTTCTGCTCACGCTACCCCCCCTCGGCCGGTGGATGCAGAGGCAACACCTCTTGGTCTTTCCCAAACACCGCACCCTCCTACTCCCCTAGCTGGAATCACTCCCACCAATGCCGCAGTCACGCCAGCCACCCCCGTGCCCACCAGCTTCATTTTTACCACCCCTGGAGGCCCCGTGACGCCAACTTCTAGGGCGGCTCGAAGCAGGAGGACGCGACGCAATCTCAACCAAATAGCTGCATGCAGACCACTCTTCCGTATGTGCATTTCCACTGTCTTTGCTCTGGTTTGTGCAGATTGTATATGACGACTCTCGACGATTAAAATGGCAACTATGGTATTGCTCCTGTTTGTTTTTGTCTTGCCACATCTTCAGGGAATGTTACAAACCTCAGATGAGGTGGTCCAGGTCGTACCACGTGTGCGTCGCCCCTCCAAACGCGCTCGACAGATATCAATCCGGTATGCCAAGTGTCGTTTTTGGAGTTCTATGGCACCTTGCTTCTCGCAACACATGTCCTTTCCAATGTTTGGCTCTTCTACTAATCCACATGTACCCAAACCATGCCCCCAACCATTCACTTCATATCGTGGCCCTATGGAACCCATACCACCATGTGTTCTTTCTCGCACTAGACCATGCATCACTGTCACCCTGTTTGGTTCACGCCGTCATATTGTCTTGCTGGTTGAGCAGCATGGGAGCCTGTAGATATTGCCCCCCATAACTTAGGCAACACATCCTTTCCCCACCCCCCAACCCTTCACCTCCTATATAAGCCCCTTTACTCCCACATCCCCTGCCGAAGCCCATGTTGTTCTCCTCTGTACAGCTGCGTGACCCGGTTTGTGTGTCATCCAGTGACTCTACGGTGGTAGCTGGATGGCTGGCATGGGCGGAAGCAGATATGGCAGCCCATGCCTCACGCCGTACACACCCTTTATTCCCACCCTCATTCTTCAACTCCTGTTTTGTCCCTTTGTGCTGCCATCCCCTCATGCCCCCCGCTGTTTTTTTCCTATCACCAGAGGCTAATGGGGTTTGCCCACGACCGAAGTGACTCTACGGTGGTTCATGGATGAGGAGCATGGGCGGATGCATATGTTGCAGCCCTTGCTTCACGCAAGAGACACCCTTCCACCACCCCCTCACTCTTCACCTCCTTTTTTGTCCCTTTGTGCTGCCATCCCCGCACGATGCCCGCAGTGTTTTCCTATCACCAGAGGCTAATGGGGTTTGTGCACGATCCAGTGACTCTACGGTGGTAGCTGGATGAGGAGCATGGGCGGATGCAGATATTGCACCTCCTGCCTCACGCAAATAACACCCTTTCCCCACCCCCAAACTCTTCACCTCCCTTTCTGCCTCCGTGTGCCGCCGTCCCCTCATGATGCCCGCATTGTTTTGAGTAACATGGGATACGGTTTGTGAGTGTTCAGGGACTCTCTAAGGGGGTTGATGGAGGAGCAACAGGGGTGGATGCACACATTGCTTTCCACTGCCTCACGCAACACACCATTCCCCTCCCCCCCCCCCCCCCTTCCCCCCCTACCTCCTGCCCCATTTGTCATTGACAACCAACGCTTGACATAGCCTACATGATTACCATCTCGACACGGGTGCGATATCGCGCACCATTGATGGTCCTAAACGCTAATCTGTAAGGTACTCTCAGCTGCCCCAAGCGTCTCCTCGCCCCCCTATACCCGCCCCCCTATATCCAACCATGTCTTATTCCCATGTCGTCCCCTGTCCGTGTATGTGTTATTCTACAGAGCAAGCGTGCGGCGATGGGCATTGCAGATATGTGGAAGGCACCAAGTGCACACCTTGATTTTACACTCGTAATTAGTCATACGCCTTACATGGATCTTTACGGTATTTGTTCTGCACACAATCACTCGCGTGATACAAGATCAGACATGAGTGCATTAGCCACTCTACTTCTGTTGAGACCAAAACTGCAACAAATAATACAAAGTATAGAGTCCTAGGCACAACTATCACCGCCACAATCCGGTGCGACGGTTTAGCCATCCACCCTAGACGCTGTAACTCCTGACTCAAAACTACGCATTCCAAAGTCTATGTCTTCGGGTGGATCCCACTCACCCAAGAAGAAATCAACATCCGACTGCGTGCAATTCCGGTAGCCCTCGTTCATTTGGACGGTCTCGGGGTACAAAGATCCTATCACAACGTACACTAACCATGGCAGTTTTACGTGGGCCTCTTGATCGTCTCCAAGCAGGTCGGAAAAGCGTACGTAACACCTGAACCTGTGATTCTTGGGAAGCATGGGACGGCCGTTGTTGGATGTTTGCGTGTTCTTCCCACAACATATGCGCACAATTGCTTCGACCGTTCGTATGTTGTCGGCCACATCGCCTTGGCTCTCTTGGGGCAGTTCTAACTCCTCTATAGCCCACTTCTCGAGAACACTGTTCTGTTTGGGGTAGATTCGGGCAAATTCTTCAAGGGACCACGACTCGCTGGCTTCCAGCAGTACAGTTGGTTTGCCAGATGGTGTGTGAGAGCGCCGCAGAAGAGGCTTGATATGGCCTAGCTGGCTGCTGGCTCGACTCCGCCCCCTCCTCATGCCACCACCCACTAATCTGCGGTTCTTCCATAGCTGTCCACGATCGTCGCTGTCCGAATCACTCTCCAATTCATCAGTTAGCCGTGTGCCCAGAGACAATCCCTTATGCCGAGTTCTCCGATCCATGTTCAAACTGTGGGGCACGGAATCTGTGGGAATGCAGATGGGGTGAGTTGGGGACACAATAAGGAGGGGTTGAGATTTGACATTACATGGTGGTCCGTGATGAAGAGGAGCATGGGACCATGGGTGCAGGGGAGCATGGGACCATGGGTGCAGGGGAGCATGGGACCATGGGTGCAGGGGAGCATGGGACCATGGGTGCAGGGGAGCATGGGACCATGGGTGCAGGGGAGCATGGGACCATGGGTGCAGGTCTGCATGGGACCATGGGTGCAGGGGAGCATGGGAACATGGGTGCAGGGGAGCATGGGACCATGGGTGCAGGGGAGCATGGGACCATGGGTGCAGGTCTGCATGGGACCATGGGTGCAGGGGAGCATGGGACCATGGGTGCAGGGGAGCATGGGACCATGGGTGCAGGTCTGCATGGGACCATGGGTGCAGGGGAGCATGGGACCATGGGTGCAGGGGAGCATGGGACCATGGGTGCAGGTCTGCATGGGACCATGGGTGCAGGGGAGCATGGGACCATGGGTGCAGGGGAGCATGGGACCATGGGTGCAGGGGAGCATGGGACCATGGGTGCAGGTCTGCATGGGACAGTCCTACAATGGGAGTGAAACAGTCCTACAATGGGAGTGAAACAGTAGGGGAAGGGTGGGTGAAACAGTGGGGGAAGGGTGAGTGAAACAGTGTGGGAAGGGGAGTGGGAGCATGGTGGAAACGGGAGTGAAACAGTGGGGGAGGGGGAGTGGGAGCGTGGGGGGAAGGCGGAGTGGAAGCATGGGAGAATGGGAGTGTAACCGTCCATGGAATGGGAGCTGACCCGTCGGGGATTCGGAGTGTAACAGCAATGCATGTTGCATTGGAGGCGTGGGGGAAGGGGAGTGGAAGAGTGTAGGAAGGGGGAGTGTCACAGTGGGGGAAGGGGAGTGAAACAGTGGGTGACGGAAAGTGAAGCGCGGGGGCGGGGAGTGGAAGCGGAGGGGAAGGCGGAGTGGAAGCGGGGGGGAAGGCGGAGTGGAAGCGTGGGGGAAGGCGGAGTGGAAGCGTGGGGGAAGGCGGAGTGGAAGCGTGGGGGAAGGCGGAGTGGAAGCGTGGGGGATGCTTTGGGGAGCATAAGAGTATCGGATCAGCGGGGCATCGGAGCAAGGGAGAAGCACAACGGGGGAGCAGCGAGGCGCGGGAGGGAAGAGGAGCATTTCGGGAGGGGTTGCCTCCCTTACCGTCTACCTAGGACCCGCTCCCTTGGCGTTCGCGCCATGCAGCCTCTTTTTTAACTCCGCATTGTCACATTGTAGCAAATGCCCACGGGCATTTGGCTCACAGGCACCTCTTATCGTGTGCAAAGGGGATACTATATGTTTTCGTTGTTGCCTTCCGTCTTTCCGAAATTGACGCATACCCGTATGCGAGTACTGCGGTGAAGGGAAATGGGGGGAGCGGGGTTGATCGAGGCCTGGATCAGACGTGGGAAGGATAGTTAGCATTCCGCGTAGATGCCTAGTGTTTGGCGTGTGCTCCTGGGGGAGCATTTTTGCCCTGTAACTTCCGTCGGAATGCGCTTTTTTGAGTTGCGCAGCCTGCCATGTCATTCCCCTGGTGCGGGCGAGTTTGCATTCTCGCAGTCGTCCGCTGATGTGTATTCGGATTGTGAGTCCTCACGCTTTGTTGGCCTGAAATTCGCATCTAATCCGCAACACCGGATTGCGCTCATACACTGCAGGGTGTGGCGCCTGTCAGTTGGACGTCGCCATGAGCGATGCACTCCATATCGTTTGCAGTCCCAGTACGCACGCTGATGTGAGGGGCGAGGGAACGTGGGGCTCAATGCCATTGGTCGCTTTCGTGCAGGTCCTTTCCTATTCGCGCTGAGCCTATGCGTGTCTCTACCATCACTCACGTACCTCGGTAATCACTGGTATATGTTCGTCGTCGCCCTTGAACCAGCACCAGTCTCGACTACGTAAGGTCTGATTAGGTCTACGGCTGGTGAGTGTGTTTGTAAGGGGTGTCTCAGTTGTTGATTGCGCAAAACAGTTGACCGAGACCTGGGTTTGGCGTGCGACACCCACTCCGTCGTCTTTGGCTGTCTTGCACACCCCCTGCGATCGAGGGTAAGGGTTTCGCGAAAATGTGAGGGTTCGTGTTGCGAAGTGTTTGTTCTTTGGCGAGTTGAATTTTGGCAGGACGTTTGTTCGTGATTCGTAAGCCAATCAGCCCAACCCTTTTTCTCACAACTGCAAAGCACTTGCTCTACTTGAGACCCTGGCTTTAAGCCAGCGCGGTTCGCAAATGCGATCCCTAACAGTCCGCCTGGAAGAAGCTGATGAGTCGTAATCTGCCCGCGGTCAGAAAAAAATAAACCCCTAATGGGTGGCATGCGATTAGGGGAGCCCCAAACCTAAACACGGGGAGCCCCAACCCTAAACACGGGCAGCCGCTTCGTTCTGCCCGAAAAGATTGCATTCGCAAACCCGCACTGGGAAAATGAGATCGCAGTTCGAGTTGTCCGCATTGAAATCGAAGAAATCCCCGAATTCACAATGTGTGTGCAATTAGCGACTCGGCTGTTCTCAACAAAACTCCTAATGAAATTGACGGGCCTCTCCAGTTCCACTCTCAGCATTGCATTCAACGATGGCTCGCACATCACTCACACGCTACACGAAGCGTGCAATCTGTAAGCACCGAGGCTAACAAAACGCTGACGCATGAAGACCTTGCCGAGTGGGCTGCCATGAAATTCAAATTAGTCCCCTCAGGCTCTGCCATTACCAGAATTTTGCAGGACAAGGCTGAGTGGCTGCAAGAACGCTCAGATGCTAACGACAACCAGTGCCGCGTTCGAAAGGGACAGTACCCTGGGTTAGAGCTCCGCCTCTGCTGCTGGATTAACCAAGCCGCTGCTGCTGGCTTACCAATGACTCTGGCCGTCATTCAGCTCCGTGCGAAGCAGCTCGCGAAGGACATGATTGACATCCCATCTTCCTTCAAATGCTAGATTGGATGGGTGATTCGTGCGATGAAATGCACATCGCGGATTTTACAAGGGCCGGAAGTCACCGAAAAAGTACAACTATGTGACTTTCCCGTAACATATTTCGGTCACGGCATCACAAAAACCCCCCTATTATATTGGTCAATTATTGCTCCAACTTTGGTGTTTCCATCCAAAATTGGACCATTAATGGTCTCATTGTTTGGTACAATATTGGTATAGTTGCTAAGATGAACTTTGGGCTATGTTTGGCCAAAGTTTAGGTGATTCTGATGACCATTTTTTCTCCAAGCCTACTCTCAACTTTATCCCAAGTTGAACCAAGTATGGTCCCAATCTAGAGTCTCCTGTGTCTTGGGTTGGCCCTATACCAAACTGTCATTTGCATGAAATTTCTGTTTGAAATATTTTTTTATTGCAAAATCAAAATACAGCATAGTGTACCTGTAGATACAGCAAAACAATACATTACAACTATACTGCTCCTACACTACACTGATTAAAGGTTACTAAATCCTTCTGCTAAAGCTACTGCTGGCTGCTACTGCCACTGCTATGCTCCTCCGCACCTGTCTCCCTGTTGCTGCTACTGGTTGCTACTGCCACTGCTAAGCTCCTCCGCACCTGTCTCCCTGTTGCTGCTACTGGTTGCTACTGCCACTGCTATGCTCCTCCGCACCTGTCCCCCTGCTGGCCCTGCTGCTCCGCACCTGTCCCCCCTGCTGCTGCTACTAGTTGCTACTGCCACTGCTACGCCCCTCTGCACCTGTCTCCCTGCTGCTCCTGCAGGTTTCTAATGCCGCTGCTACTCCCCTCTGCACCTGTCTCCCTGCTGATCCTGCAGGTTGCTAATGCTGCTGCTACGCCCCTCTGCACCTGTCTCCTTGCTGCTCCTGCAGGTTGCTAATGCCGCTGCTACGCCCCTCTGCACCTGTCTCCCTGCTGCTCCTGCAGGTTGCTAATGCCGCTGCTACGCCCCTCTGCACCTGTCTTCCTGCTGCTCCTGCAGGTTGCTACTGCCGCTGCTACGCCCCTCTGCACCTGCAGATTGCTACTGCCTTTGCTATGCCTCTCGTTTTCCTGTCATTCTGCTGTTCCTGCAGATTGCTGCTGCCACTAATGTGCCCTTCCGCACGTGTCCCCCTGCTGCTGTCTCAGATAGCTGCATCCACTGCTATGCCCCTCGTTTTCCCGTCCCGTTGCTGTTCCTGCTGATTGCTACTTCCACTCATGCGCCCTTCTGCACTTTTCCCCCTGCTGCTGTTGCAAGTTGCTGCATCCACTGATATGCCCCTCGTTTTCTGTCCTCCTGCTCCTGCAGATTTCTACAGCCACTGAAATGCCCCTCTGCACCGTTCCCCCTGCTCCTGCTGCAGATTGCTACTGCTCCTGCTGCAGATTGCTACTGCCTCTGCTTAGCCCCTCTGCACCTGTCCCCCTCCTGATGTTGCAGATTGCTACTGCCACTGCGAAGCCCCTCTGCACCGATCCCCCTGCTGCTGCTGCAGATTGCTACTGCCACTACTAAGCCCCTCCGCACATGTCCCCCTAGTGCTGCTGTAGATCTCTGTGATCACGGGTTGGGGGTGACAACCCGGGCTGGTGCAGGTCGTGCTGCCTGCGCAAAGAGGCATGGGGGACGGAAGGAAGGGGACAGTAGAGACGGGAGGAAGGGGACGGAAGAGATGGGAGGAAGGGGAAGGGGACGGAAGAGATGGGAGGAAGGGGAAGGGGACGGAAGAGATGGTGAGTGATGCAACAAAGCTGGTGCCACAGCACGGCATTCGTGCCACATGAGCATTGTGTTGGAGCCATCTCAGCAAGGTTTTGGTCCTATGGATGACTTATCTGCACCCTGCTGACAAGGGTCTCCATGTCAGACGCGTCGATGTAGACGCCGTTGGGGAAGTTGAATGTGTTCGTGTTGCTGGCGTATGGGACACCATGGTCCATGACAGCGATCTCGACCTCCTGCTTCACACGGGTGCACATCTCCTCGTACTGGATCCGATTGTACTCCCACTTGCCGCTCAACTTCCCATCGGGCGCATTGTTAAGGATTGGCCACTCGAACTGTAGGAATATGGTGGGGATGAGGTGGGGATGTAGTGGAATAGATGAACAGACAAGGGTTAACACATGAAAACACTAGATGGCTCACCGCATACGTGGCATCAAACATAGGGTCATGTCCATAAACTCACTGCATATAAGATCCAGCCCAGCTGGCGGGTCTTAATCTTCTCGGTATTGACCCCACGGCGCGCCAAAGCCAACTTGATGGACACCGAGAAGATGAGGCTGCCGAACGGGATGAGGAGCTCACGGTGCCAAGCCAGTCCCCTCTCCCCTGTAATGGGATTGTGTGGTGATAGAAAACAAAGGGATGAAAATTGCTGACTCTATGGTGAATAGGGGGCAACCGAAAGTGGAAAGGAGGAACGAAATCATACATATACATATGATTGCAACACACATAACAGCAACTACGGGATCAAAGGCTGCATACAAACTCACCATCCTTGTAACGCTCAATAAGTTCCTCATCCGTGTAGAACTCGAGTGGTGCAAGTAGATCTGCTGGTAACCTCCCGATGTAACACCTGTTCGCCTGTCGACCCAACGCCGTGAGCGCCACCTTTCTCATCCAGCCGTTGATAGTAGTCCTAGTTGAAGACAGCTGGTAAAAAAAAACCCCTCTGGTGCTGGCATCATTGTGCTGAAAGAGCACACGCAACGAGGCAAGAACCTGCGGCGATACAAACTCGCTAAACCCATGATCTAAGGCCTCCTCCGCAGATGGGTAGAACTGAATCATTGAGGCTTCAATGTTGAAGCAAAGATGTGTTGCAACACGCCTAGCAAGTTCCTACAGAGTGGAGGGGGATGGGTGGCAGATATGCAAACAAGAGGTAAGGGTTTGCAAGTGGGGTTTAGTGTTGAGGGTAAGGTGGGCAGATAGTTGGAGCATGCGTCTAGGTTTAGGGAAAGCTTTGGCTCCCTAGATTTGGATGGGGGAGCAAGTGGGGTTTAGAGTTGAGGGTAGAAGGGACAGACTGTTGGAGCATGAGTCAAGGTTTAGAAGCTCCATCTCCCAGTTCTTGGCTGGGTAAGCAAGAGAGGTTTAGGGTTGAGGAGAGAGGGGGCAGATTGACAAAGCATAAGTCATGGTTTAGGGTCGATGGTAGTGGGTGCAGACAGTCAAAGAAGAAGTCATGGTTAGGTAAAGCCTCAACTCCCTATACCTGGATGGGGAAGCAGGTGGGGTTTAAGGTTAAAAGTAGATGGGCAGGCAGGCAGAGGGGAGTCAAGGTTTAGGTAAATCGTCACCTCACTAGACCCGGATGGGGAAGCAAGCGGGGTTTAGGGTTGAAGGGAGAGGGGCAGGCAGGCAGAAGGGAGTCAGGTTTTAGGTATTGCCTCACCCCCTGAGACCTGGATGGGGAAGCAAGTGGGGTTTAGGGTTGATGGTAGTGGGTGCAGACAGTCAAAGCATAAGTCATGGTTAGGTAAAGCCTCAACTCCCTATACCTGGATGGGGAAGCAGGTGGGTTTAAGGTTGAAGGGAGAGGGGCAGGCAGGCAGAGGGGAGTCAAGGTTTAGGTAAATCGTCACCTCACTAGACCTGGATGGGGAAGCAAGCGGGGTTTAGGGTTGAAGGGAGAGGGGCTGGCAGGCAGAAGGGAGTCAGGGTTTAGGTATTACCTCACCCCCTGAGACCTGGATGCTGGATGGGGAAGCAAGTGGGGTTTAGGGTTGATGGTAGTGGGGGCAGACAGTCAAAGCAGAAGTCATGGTTAGGTAAAGCCTCAACTCCCTATACCTGGATGGGGAAGCAGGTGGGTTTAAGGTTGAAGGGAGAGGGGCAGGCAGGCAGAGGGGAGTCAGGGTTTAGGTAAATCGTCACCTCACTAGACCTGGATGGGGAAGCAAGCGGGGTTTAGGGTTGAAGGGAGAGGGGCAAGAAGGCAGAAGGGAGTCGGAGTTTAGATATTGCCTTACCCCCTGAGACCTGGATGGGGAAGCAAGTGGGGTTTAGGGTTGATGGTAGTGGGGGCAGACAGTCAAAGCAGAAGTCATGGTTAGGTAAAGCCTCAACTCCCTATACCTGGATGGGAAAGCAGGTGGGTTTAAGGTTGAAGGGAGAGGGGCAGGCAGGCAGAGGGGAGTCAGGGTTTAGGTATTGCCTCACCCCCTTAGACCTGGACAGGGAAGCAAGTGGGGTTTCGGGTTGAGGGGAGAGGGGCAGGCAGGCAGAAGGGAGTCAGGGTTTAGGTATTGCCTCACTCCCTTAGACCTGGACAGGGAAGCAAGTGGGGTTTAGGGTTGAGGGTAGGAGGGATGGACTGGCACAGCGTGAGTCAGTGTTTAGGAAAAGCTTCAACTCCCTAGTTCTGGTTGGGGAAGCAATTGGGGTTTAGGATCGAGGGGTGAGGGTGAAGACTGGTCGAGTAGGAGTCTAGGAAACGCATACGCAGTGTATCACAGGCAACGCACCTTGAAGTCGACTACGGCTTTGTAGACGATTTCGCGGTGGTTTGCTAGGGGACTATTCCCAGAGGGAAGGCCTTCCGACGAGCTGGTGCTCGGGCCAGAATGGGGAGGTGTTGTTGCAGGCGCTCCGATTGGGAGGGATTGGCCAGCACCCCGACCCATGGCCGACAAAATTTCGGCAAACCTCGCCATCACGCGTCGCTCGAATTGGTCAAGGTCCGCGTTTGTTAAACCACCACGCTCCCGGCGGCGATCCCCGGATGCCGCCACAAACGGAGTTTTCTTGGCGGGTACGAGATCGAAACGCTTGGTGGCTAGGCTGAGAACCTTCACTGGTGGCGCAGCTCCGAAGTCCTTGGGTGCTGCTGGGAGAAACGTGACAGAAAGGATAGGAGGAGCGTGACAGAAGGGATGGGAGTTGGGTGACGGGAGGGATGGGAGATGGGTGACGGGAGGGATGGGAGGAAGGTAGACAGAAGGGATGGGCTGATTGGTTTACGGCAGGGATAGGACGAGAGCTTACGGTAGGGATGGGACTGCAGGGATGGGAGGATAGGGTACGGCAAGGATAGGGACAACAGGGATGGGACTACAGAGAAAAGATGGGACAGTGCCTTGGGACATCAACAAACATGCCACAAATAGAAAGACCACATAAGGGCAATAGCCCTAGTTCACTGAAACATGCACCTTAACGAGGCAACGTTCTCACCATCGGTTTTGGTGTTGCCCTTCTTAGCGGTCACTTTAGCCCCACCGCCCGCTTTAGCCTTTACCCCTCTTGCCCCAACGCCTGCTGCTTTTGGAGTTGCCTTCGTTTTGCCCGCAACTTCATCGGTGTTTCGCTTTTTTGATGCACCTCCAACCACCAAGGCGGACTCCTCCCGTTTCGTCTTTCCACCAGGGCTACTCTCTTTCGCCACCACTTTCTCCACCACTTTCTCCTTACCCTTAGCCATGGCGACAGCATGTCTCCCTGGAGGTGGCTTAGCCGGAACCTTAGAGGGTCCTGAACGCGACTGTGCTTTCGCACCCTTTCCAGCGAGCTTCGAGCTCACAACGGGTTCCTGGATCTCATCAAGTGCCTTCAGCTTCCCAAGCAGCAAAGCTCGTTCCTCTGCCACAGCCTCATCCTCCACGGCATCACCTTCACTGTCATCCTGCTCTTCCAGCATCTCGTCAAAGCTTGTTTTTTTCGTGACCTCAGGCTTATGAGCATCCGCGCAGGCAGGCACTTCCGCCGTACCGTTTTTCTCATTCCTCTCCACTGCCTCCTCCTCATCCCCCTGCTCATCGTCCGACTCTCCACCCTCCTCGTCCGACGGCTCGTCCCCGGACTCATCTTCCAACTCATTGCCGGACTCCCCACCCTCTTCATCCTCCGCCTCCCCATCTTCCTCTTCCTCCGCCTCTTCCTCCGCCTCTTCCTCCGCCTTTTCCTCCTCATCTTCCTCCGCATCCTCCTCCGCCTCGTGTGGAGCCTCGTGCTCAGCCTCGTGCTCAGCCTCGTGCTCAGCCTCATCCTCAGCCTCATCCTCAGCCTCGGCCTCAGCCTCGTCCTCAGCCTCGGCCTTGTCTCCCGACTTGCCGTTGGCCTCTGCCTCGTCCAAATCGTCGCCCTGTCGTTTGTTCCGCGCAGCTGTAACAGGTTCAGCGTCTTCTTCGGTAGCATCCGCACCTTCTGCGTACCACACTCTCGCCTTTCGAGGGCGGTTGGACTTGCGAATATCGCCCCCAGGTGGGCCCTCACCGCTAGATGACCTGGATTTCGGCGAACCGACAGTTCCCTTTTTCTTCGTAGTCTGCTTGACCTTGCTGGGAGATCGTGCCGAGACACCTTTGGCAGAGTTTTTCTTCCCAGACTTCGAGACCTGCAGTTTAGTCGACATTATGCAGACAGGGCCAGAGAAAATCGGGAAACGCTGGGAAACTCTAACGTAACAAAGTATATCGGTTTGGACTGTGGATTGGTAAGTGCTACTAGTGTCAAAACATGTCTTCGGAAACATTCAGGGATGCAGAAATGAGCCATCATTTAGGAACCGAAAACGTACAGCGTGTTCCGGTCGCGGTCACTTGACGGGTCGGGTACTCAGAGTTTGAAGCAGCCCGATTCGGGAACGGGCGCTTTCTACGCGACCCACTTATAACGATTTGGTATGGACTTTCAGCCGGCGCGGCTTGACTCCCGGAAAGAAACTGGACGTGGGTGATACTAGGGAGGCCCTAAAAGCTACTATGTTCGCAGAGGGTAAGGCTGTACGTGGCGCTATGATACGTGCCATTCTGAGAGGCCGTGATAAACGGACGGAACAGGATATCGTGGAAGCGCGAGGTCGATTATGTTTGCATAGGAGAGTCGCGTGGGTCGCGGTTCGACCATGTCAGAGGTAAGTCGCTGGGAAAAGCGGGGGAAAAACTGTCTTGCGGTGCTCAAGGAAAGACGCCCTCGTGAAGGTGTTGGTCTTTCAGCGTCGTGACTGCTTGGCGAACGGTAGCAGAGGACCAGAGAGTCGTGAGAGACGATGGTGGCAGAGCAACTGCTAGGCGTGACCGTGGGCTGGGGTTCGAGGCGGTTGATGATAATGTTGGTTTGATACAGTACAAAACGTCGACAGTGGCCAGCACCACATGGCAGAATTGTGGTTTGCGTGGCAGCTTTGTGGTTTGTGCAGCAGGGCAGCTCTGTAGTTTTCATGGCAGCTTGATGGGTGCTTGGCAATGTGGCAGTACAGTGCAGAACAGTAAAGTTCCGAACTGACCCTAGGAGCAGTGGTAGGAATTTCACAACGGTCCACTGACCCTATCAAGGAAGAACTACTTCTCGTCGCATCCCGTCACTTAGTCTGCAATTGGCAATCGGCGCACCTGGAGATGACCCTTTGGTAAACCGGAAACCTTGAGATTCTGACAACCAGATGTCACAGGCCTCGATACGACCAACAGACATACCCCCGTGCCCAGCGATCCAAAAATTGCAGCCAGAATCTGCTCTGATTCTGATTCGGCTCTGCACAATGGCCACTAGCAGCATTTCAACGGGTTCTCTTAGACAGTTCGGGACCCATCCAAATTTGATAGTACACCTGATATATTTGCATGCACAAGATCTAACATAACAGTGCACTTTTTTATCTGTTGAATACTTGTGAGTTTTGATTGTAATTGACAGGGTTCCCAATATGCCAATCACGTCCCAACAGGTGATTCTCATCAAGGAGCAACCTTTCATCCATTTACATGCTACATAGAGTCTAGCAAGTTGAAATGATACTATGGAAGCTCTAGTGGCGAGGAATCTTGTTGTTGACTAGATTCAGTATAAAGCTTAAACTCTCTAAGCATCCTAGTATTAAAGTTCTTATTGGTATCAGGAGCCTCCCATCCCAAAATGGGCTTCGCCAGAGCACTTTTGGTTGGTCGTTTGACAAACGTGCTAGCCTAAGGCTGATATGTACAAGTTCTGGGCAGGCCTATGGGGAAAAGCGTCGATTGATAGCATATACATTTTGGATTGGGCTGAGCTCCTAGGAGGATGTTACTAATATTATCAGGAGCCTCCCATCCCAAAATTGGCCTTGCCGGAGCACGTTTGGTTGGTCGTTCGACAAACGTGCTGCCTAAGGCTGCTCTGTACAAGTTCTGCGCAGGCCTGTGGGGAAATGCGTCGATTGATAGCGTAGGCATTTTGGATTGAGCTTATTCTTTGTGTGGTGGAGATAGTTAGTTCTATAAACCTCCCATCTCAATCTCAGCTCCTGCGGAACATTCTAGAATGGTTGTTTGGAAGATGAGCTAGTTTAGCTGATTTTGCTGAGATTTCCGCTGCCTTATGGGGCAAGGCATGACTACCTGCCGGCCACATATTGGATTGAGCTAATTATTTGTGTGTTGACTCTAGTTGGTGCTATGAACCTCCCATCCCATTCTCAGCTCCTGCAGAGCACCCTAGGTTGGTTGTTTGGAAAATAAGTTAGTTCAATGATTTCACTGCGTTTTCCGCTGCCTTTTGGGGCAAGGCACGATTACCTACCGGCCAGATATTGGATTGACCTTATTATTTGTGTGGTGACTCTAAGTAGTACTGTGGACCTTTCACCTCATTTTCAGCTGCTGCGGAACATTCTAGAATGGTTGTTTGGAAGATGAGGTAGTATAGCTGAGATGGCTGCAATTTCCGCTGCCTTATGGGGCAAGGCATGATTATCTGCCAGCCACATATTGGATCAAGCTGATTCTTTGTTTGGTGACTCTAAGTAGTGTTGTGGACCGGTTGTGAAAAGTTAGAAGAAAGAAAGAGGGTTGAACTAGCAAGAATGAGGATACAAATAGCAAACCCTAGAAGGGTTGTACTCGCTATAGAGCACCCCACTACAGGCTAGAACAATAAGATAATATTCTGACACACCCCCATAGCCAAAGTGGGGTGTAATCAGCAGAGCAGGCAAAGCAAAACAAGCTCAGGGTGGATCACAATGTCACCACACATTCTGAGCACAAGTTCAAGAAGAAATAGTTTAGAGTTCACAATTATAAGCAAAGCTAGTGGTAGTCACAACGGGCAAGTGAGGAGGAGGAGGGAGAGTGAGGGGAGAGGAGACAGGAGGCGACGGCTGAAGCTGCAGACACACGGGCAACAGGAGGCAGACTGGCACAGCGGCTACCGGACAGCGCCCGGACTACAGGAGTAACAGGCCCCGCGGCTCAAATAGCGGCGGACGGGCAACGGACCCACGGGCGGCTGGCACAGCTGGCTACGACTGGTCTACCGGGACAGCGCCCCGGACTACAGGTGCTGCTGACGACAAACTGGCAACCTCCGCTCATCCTCCCGCACACAGTCCCACCCCCCTGATACACACCCACTGCTACACCACTAGCTCTACTCCCACGCACCCCCCTAAAACCCTAAACCCAGTCTCCCACACAACCACCCCCCTCAGCGACAGCTGCAGCAGTGGGAGACGAAGGAGGAGGAGGAGCAAAGGGAGGAAAGTACACTGGCCACCCCCATACCTGCCACCCCACAGCGCGCGCGGCCCCCGAAGGAGCCGCGACGGGCGACGGGAATTGGGGGGGAGGGGAGAAAAAGGGGGGGGGGGGGGGGGGACGGGGCCGGGGCCGCGACGAGGGGCGGGGCCGCGACGGTCGAGGCGGGGCCGCGACATAGGGCGGGGCCGCGACGTAGGGCGGGGCCGCGACGTAGGGCGGGGCCGCAACGTTGGGCGGGGCCGCGAAGGTAGGGCGGGGCCGAGCCGGGCAGGCGCACGGGCGGCGACGGGCCGGGGCGGGGCCGCGACGAAGGGCGGGGCCGAGCCGGGCAGGCGCACGGGCGGCGACGGGCCGGGGCGGGGCCGCGACGTAGAGCGGGGCCGCGTCGAGGGGCGGGGCCGCGACGATCGAGGCGGGGCCGCGACGTAGGGGAGAAGCCCGCCGCGCGCCTCGGGGCGCACAGCGGGCAATGAACCGCCGCGCGCCTCGGGGCGCACGGCGGGCAGAAAACCGCCGCGCGCCTCGGGGCGCACGGCGGGAGGAAAAAGTAGCAGCGGAAGCGAGGTGGTAACCCACCCACAGGATCGATCCAAGGGGATCGACCTGCTCTGATAGCATGTGAAAAGTTAGAAGAAAGAAAGAGGGTTGAACTAGCAAGAATGAGGATACAAATAGCAAACCCTAGAAGGGTTGTACTCGCTATAGAGCACCCCACTACAGGCTAGAACAATAAGATAATATTCTGACACCGGTGTCCCCATTTTCAGCTCCTGCGGAGCACTCTAGGTTGGTTGTTTGGAAGATGAGCTAGTTTAGCTGATTTTGCAGCGATTTCCGCTGCCTTATAAGGGAAAGGCATGATTACCTACCCGCCAAATATTGGATTGACCTGATTCTTTGTGTGGTGACTCTAAGTAGTACTGTGGACCTTTCACCCCATTTTCAGCTGCTGCGGAACATTCTAGAATGGTTGTTTGGAAGATGAGCTAGTATAGCTGAGATGGCTGCGATTTCCGCTGCCTTATGGGGCAAGGCATGATTATCTGCCGGCCACATATTGGATCGAGCTGATTCTTTGTGTGGTGACTCTAAGTAGTGTTGTGGACCGGTATCCCCATTTTCAGCTCCTGCGGAGCACTCTAGGTTGGTTGTTTGGAAGATGAGCTAGTTTAGCTGATTTTGCAGCGATTTCCGCTGCCTTATGGGGCAAGGCATGATTACCTACCCGCCAAATATTGGATTGACCTGATTCTTTGTGTGGTGACTCTAAGTAGTACTGTGGACCTTTCACCCCATTTTCAGCTGCTGCGGAACATTCTAGAATGGTTGTTTGGAAGATGAGCTAGTATAGCTGAGATGGCTGCGATTTCCGCTGCCTTATGGGGCAAGGCATGATTATCTGCCAGCCACATATTGGATCGAGCTGATTCTTTGAGTGGTGACTCTAAGTAGTGTTGTGGACCGGTGTCCTCATTTTCAGCTCCTGCGGAGCACTCTAGGTTGGTTGTTTGGAAGATGAGCTAGTTTAGTTGATTTTGCAGCGATTTCCGCTGCCTTATGGGGCAAGGCATGATTACCTGCGAGAGTTTATTGGATCGAGCTGATTCTTTGTGTGGTGACTCTAAGTAGTACTGTGGACCTTTCACCCCATTTTCAGCTGCTGCGGAACATTCTAGAATGGTTGTTTGGAAGATGAGCTAGTTTAGTTGATTTTTATGCGATTTCCGCCGCCTTTTGGGGCAAGGCACGATTACCTGCCGGCCACATATTGGATTGAGCTGATTCTTTGTGTGGTGACTCTAAGTAGTGCTGTGGACCTTCCATCCAATTTTCAGGTCCTGCGGAGCACTCTAGGTTGGTTCTTTGGAAGATGAGCTAGTTTAGTTGATTTTTATGTGATTTCCGCCGCCTTTAGGGGCAAGGCACGATTACCTACCAGCCAAAGATTGGATTGGTCTTATTCTTTGTATGGTGACTCTAATTAGTGCTGTGGACCTTCCATCCAATTTTCATCTACTCGGAGCACTCTAGGTTGGTTGTTTGGAAGATGACATAACACGCAGGACTGTACTGCGATTCAGGCCGTCATATGGGGCAAGGCCTGATTTCCTATCCTAGACGATATGAGTCCAATAGTCAGTAGTCAGTAGTTTCGGTTAAATGAAACCATGGTTACAAATTTCTTGATCGTAGGTTCAGTAAATATTTTTGTTCAATTCTATAAACGGCACATTTTGTTATGCATACGTCTTATCACTTATGTGCACACCAGGGCTCGTATACAGTGTTGTGTCTAAAACGTGAATAGCATCGCATTTGACTTTCGAGAGTTTGAAGTTGTGGTATGAGGCACAGGGAATCAGGCACTGCACGCACACACCAACCCTATCCTGAAGGCTGCAAACCTAATTTCATCAAGGTTCCTGATCCGCCTCATCGTGATTCGTGTATTGCATCTCATATCGTGCCCCCAGGTCGCGCCGTCAGCGACTCGTCGTAATCACATGGCTGTCGCGCCTCTAGCTAGCTCGCACTGTAGCGTTATTCCCCGTCACGATGTCCATCCGCTACCTTATACTGAATGGCCTTCTCGCTATTCATCGACTCTTTGTAGCGGGTGCGTATTTAAACGCCACGGCGATATGCAGAGGCAAAGGAACGACGGACTAATGTCGCGCTGCCATGGATCGTTCTAGTCCTGTTCGGTGTGCACACTGTGAACGAGAGTTTTCAGACTGTTTCGCGCTAGGAAGGCACCGGGCTGGCAACACACCCTGCAACCCCAACTCTGCAGAGCATCGCGCAGGCAGTGTTCCTAGGCGCCCTAACATAGCCTACATTGTGCCTGCATCGCTCCCGCGCTTCGTCAGACATGGCAGTTCCGCGCCTCAAGATGCAACTCAGGAGACACTGCCAGCCTTGTCTAGTGGCGTGGGCTGTGAGAGTCGTGTTGATCCTGAGGGATCTTCTCCACATCCCTCAACGCCCCAGTCGTCCAGCCAAGGGGCGGAGCAGCCCCCAACCACATGTCCAGATAATCCTGGATCCGACCCCGCTGCCAGGCCTTCGTTTCCCGATGGCAGCGACATCCATCCCGCTTTGATACACCTGTTGGAGCAACTCGATTCGCTGAATGGCGGCATGGGCTTATCGAACATGGATACTAACAAGGTGCTGCAGCTAATTATCCATCCAGAGTTGGCCCCGCTGCTGGTAGAGGGGAATGCCCGTAGCTTCTGGGATGTGGAGAGGGTGCAGAAGGAATATCTAGCTGACACGGGACGTGGATTCGAGTCGACCACATTTTATGTGGAGGGCTTTCCACCGCAAGTGATGCTTCACCGCGATCCACTGAGGGTGAGTTTGATGACGTAGTTTCGGGTACCCGGGATGAAACTGAAGGGCATTGGCTTGACAGTTTGTCCTGGCGGCATCATGCGTCACTCTCATACTGTGTAGGGTGCTAACCGGCCTGTGTACGTGCTGTATATGATATTGCAGGCCCTGGCGGATATGTTTCGGCACAAGCACAATGCGCCTGGCTTCAGAATGGGATCGAGGAGAGACAAGGACACCGAGGGTGGGCATCGGGCATATTCCACTGCAGAAACTGGCACATGGTGGCAAGAAGCACAGGTGAGTGCTATTGATAGCTATTTGCAGTTGCGAGAGATGGTGAGTGATGAGAGGGGAGGTGCAGAGATTGTGAGTGATGGGACGGGAGGTGCAGAGATTGTGAGTGCAAGGTGATGGGTAGTTTACACTCCCCTCACATCACTCGCACCTTGCATATGTTCCACACCTACCACTCACCATGCATGGTCCCGGCTTTCAGCTGGTGTGCCCTTTTTGAGTCAGCAATGTTTACCGCCCAGAGACATTGCCTTTCCCCTCGACCCAATCTATCCATTCTTTGCGTTATGTGCAGGAATTCATTGGCATGGACAAGATTGTTGCGGCGCTGATACTATACAGTGATGTCACGCACTTGAGCAACAACGGAAGGAAGAAGGCGCACCCGGTCATGATGACACTGGGGAATATTGCATTCCCAAAACGCTGGGGGCGGCCTGGGCACTCCCTGCTGGCGCTGTTACCCATCCCACCCTCGAATATGCCGTCGCACTTGAAGGTGGAGCTCTACAACGCGTGTATTGCTAAGCTACTTGAGCCACTTCTCCGCCTTGAAGACAAGTGAGTGGTGCAAATGCTGGTGTTTATCGAAACTTTATCTATTTGGTGAGTCATGCCCCATAAAAGGAGTGCGGCACTTGGAAGTAATGAATATTGTTAACCTGCATGTGTTTTCACCCTGTGTCATGGCTGCCCGATAAATGTGCAGTGGTGTCATGCTGCTAGACTCAGAAGGCATCGAGCGATGAGTGCTGGGACGGTGAGTGCTCGGATGCTGAGTGATAGTATGGTGAGTGATGGGATGGTTAGGGCTGGTATGCTGAGTGCTAGGATGGTGAGGGATGGGAGGGTTAGTGCTGGGATGGTGAGTGCCCAGATGATGAGTGCTGGGATGGTGAGTGCTGGGATGGTTAGTGCTGGGATGGTGAGTGCTGGGATGGCGAGTGATGGGATGGTTAGTGCTGGGATGGTGAGTGCTGGGATGGTGAGTGATGGGATGGTTAGTGCTGGGACGGTGAGTGCTGGGATGGTTAGTGCTGGGATGGTGAGTGCTGGGGTGGTTAGTGCTGGGATGGTGAGTGCTGGGATGGTGAGTGCTGGGAGGGTGAGTGCTGGGATGGTGAGTGATGGGATGGTGAGTGCTGGGATGGTGAGTGCTGGGACGGTGAGTGCTCGGATGCTGAGTGCTAGGATGGTGAGTGATGGGATGGTTAGGGATGGGATGGTGAGTGCTAGGATGGTGAGGGATGGGATGGTGAGTGATGGGATGGTTAGTGCTGGGACGGTGAGTGCTGGGATAGTGAGTGCTGGGATGGTGAGTGCGGGTATGGTGAGTGATGGGATGGTGAGTGCTGGGATGGTGAGTGCTGGGACGGTGAGTGCTCGGATGCTGAGTGCTAGGATGGTGAGTGATGGGATGGTTAGGGCTGGGATGGTGAGTGCTAGGATGGTGAGGGATGGGATGGTTAGTGCTGGGATGGTGAGTGCCCGGATGGTGAGTGCTGGGATGGTGAGTGCTGGGATGGTTAGTGCTGGGATGGTGAGTGCTGGGATGGTGAGTGATGGGATGGTTAGTGCTGGGATGGTGAGTTCTGGGATGGTGAGTGCTGGGATGGTGAGTGATGGGATGGTTAGTGCTGGGACGGTGAGTGCTGGGATAGTGAGTGCTGGGATGGTGAGTGCGGGTATGGTGAGTGATGGGATGGTTAGTGCTGGGATGGTGAGTGCTGGGATGGTGAGTGCTGGGAGGGTGAGTGCTGGGATGGTGAGTGATGGGATGGTTAGTGCTGGGATGGTGAGTGATGGGATGGTGAGTGCTGGGATGGTGAGTGCTGGGATGGTGAGTGATGTGATGGTGAGTGCTAGGATGGTGAGTGCTGGGAGGGTGAGTGCTGGGATGGTGAGTGATGGGATGGTGAGTGCTGGGATGGTGAGTGCTGGGACGGTGAGTGCTCGGATGCTGAGTGCTAGGATGGTGAGTGATGGGATGGTTAGGGCTGGGATGGTGAGTGCTAGGATGGTGAGGGATGGGATGGTTAGTGCTGGGATGGTGAGTGCTGGGATGGTGAGTGATGGGATGGTTAGTGTTGGGATGGTGAGTGCTGGGATGGTGAGTACTGGGATGGTGAGTGATGGGATGGCTAGTGCTGGGACGGTGAGTGCTGGGATAGTGAGTGCTGGGATGGTGAGTGCGGGTATGGTGAGTGATGGGATGGTTAGTGCTAGGATGGTGAGTGCTGGAATGGTGAGTGATGGGATGGTTAGTGCTGGGATGGTGCGTGCTGGGATGGTGAGTGCTGGGATGGTAAGTGATGGGATGGTTAGTGCTGGGACGGTGAGTGCTGGGATAGTGACTGCTGGGATGGTGAGTGCGGGTATGGTGAGTGATGGGATGGTGAGTGCTGGGATGGTGAGTGCTGGGACGGTGAGTGCTCGGATGCTGAGTGCTAGGATGGTGAGTGATGGGATGGTTAGGGCTGGGATGGTGAGTGCTAGGATGGTGAGGGATGGGATGGTTAGTGCTGGGATGGTGAGTGCTCGGATGGTGAGTGCTGGGATGGTGAGTTCTGGGATGGTTAGTGCTGGGATGGTGAGTGCTGGGATGGTGAGTGATGGGATGGTTAGTGCTGGGATGGTGAGTGCTGGGATGGTGAGTGCTGGGATGGTGAGTGATGGGATGGTTAGTGCTGGGACGGTGAGTGCTGGGATAGTGAGTGCTGGGATGGTGAGTGCGCGTCTGGTGAGTGATGGGATGGTTAGTGCTGGGATGGTGAGTGCTGGGATGGTGAGTGCTGGGAGGGTGAGTGCTGGGATGGTGAGTGATGGGATGGTTAGTGCTAGGATGGTGAGTGCTGGGATGGTGAGTGCTGGGATGGTGAGTGATGGGATGGTGAGTGCTGGGATGGTGAGTGCTGGGAGGGTGAGTGCTGGGATGGTGAGTGATGGGATGGTGAGTGCTGGGATGGTGAGTGCTGGGACGGTGAGTGCGCGGATGCTGAGTGCTAGGATGGTGAGTGATGGGATGGTGAGTGCTGGGATGGTGAGTGCTGGGATGGTGAGTGATGGGATGGTTAGTGCTGGGATGGTGAGTGCTGGGATGGTGAGTGCTAGGATGGTGAGGGATGGGATGGTGAGTGCTGGGATGGTGAGTGCTGGGATGGTGAGTGATGGGATGGTTAGTGCTGGGATGGTGAGTGCTGGGATGGTGAGTGCTGGGATGGTGAGTGATGGGATGGTTAGTGCTGGGACGGTGAGTGCTGGGATAGTGAGTGCTGGGATGGTGAGTGCGGGTATGTTGAGTGATGGGATGGTGAGTGCTGGGATGGTGAGTGCTGGGAGGGTGAGTGCTGGGATGGTGAGTGATGGGATGGTGAGTGCTGGGATGGTGAGTGATGGGATGGTTAGGGCTGGGATGGTGAGTGCTAGGATGGTGAGGGATGGGATGGTGAGTGCTGGGATGGTGAGTGCTGGGATGGTGAGTGATGGGATGGTTAGTGCTGGGATGGTGAGTGCTGGGATGGTGAGTGCTAGGATGGTGAGGGATGGGATGGTGAGTGCTGGGATGGTGAGTGCTGGGATGGTGAGTGATGGGATGGTTAGTGCTGGGATGGTGAGTGCTGGGATGGTGAGTGCTGGGATGGTGAGTGATGGGATGGTTAGTGCTGGGACGGTGAGTGCTGGGATAGTGAGTGCTGGGATGGTGAGTGCGGGTATGTTGAGTGATGGGATGGTTAGTGCTGGGATGGTGAGTGCTGGGATGGTGAGTGATGGGATGGTTAGTGCTGGGATGGTGAGTGCTGGGATGGTGAGTGCTGGGATGGTGAGTGATGGGATGGTTAGTGCTGGGACGGTGAGTGCTGGGATAGTGAGTGCTGGGATGGTGAGTGCGGTTATGGTGAGTGATGGGATGGTTAGTGCTGGGATGGTGAGTGCTGGGATGGTGAGTGATGGGATGGTTAGTGCTGGGATGGTGAGTGATGGGATGGTTAGTGCTGGGATGGTGAGTGCTGGGATGGTGAGTGCTGGGATGGTGAGTGATGGGATGGTTAGTGCTGGGACGGTGAGTGCTGGGATAGTGAGTGCTGGGATGGTGAGTGCGGGTATGTTGAGTGATGGGATGGTTAGTGCTGGGATGGTGAGTGCTGGGATGGTGAGTGATGGGATGGTTAGTGCTGGGATGGTGAGTGCTGGGATGGTGAGTGCTGGGATGGTGAGTGATGGGATGGTTAGTGCTGGGACGGTGAGTGCTGGGATAGTGAGTGCTGGGATGGTGAGTGCGGTTATGGTGAGTGATGGGATGGTTAGTGCTGGGATGGTGAGTGCTGGGATGGTGAGTGATGGGATGGTTAGTGCTGGGATGGTGAGTGCTGGGATGGTGAGTGCTGGGATGGTGAGTGATGGGATGGTTAGTGCTGGGACGGTGAGTGCTGGGATAGTGAGTGCTGGGATGGTGAGTGCTGGTATGGTGAGTGATGGGATGGTTAGTGCTGGGATGGTGAGTGCTGGGATGGTGAGTGCTGGGAGGGTGAGTGCTGGGATGGTGAGTGATGGGATGGTTTGTTCTTGGATGGTGAGTGCTGGGTTGGTGAGTGCTGGGAGGGTGAGTGCTGGGATGGTGAGTGATGGGATGGTTAGTGCTTGGATGGTGAGTGCTGGGATGGTGAGTGATGGGATGGTGAGTGATGGGATGGTTAGTGCTGGGATGGTGAGTGACGGATGGTGAGTGCTGGGATGGTGAGTGATGGGATGGTGAGTGCCCGGATGGGGAGGGAGGAAGGTGCTGTGGTGGGGAGAAGGAGGGCTGGGAAGTGCTGGGATCAGGAGTGCAAGCCTCGAACCCTCTGCGATGTCGACCGGGCATATAATCATGCGCCATCTGGAATCTTGGCTGTGAACATTTCATCTCTGTATATGTGTGTGTCTAACGGTCTCTCTTGCTTGTCCCCTTTATGCTAAAAATTCCAACGCCCACCACAGGAAAGCCTGTCATCTGTGGAGCTACCCAACAACGTTCGCACACCCGCACAACAGCAGTGGGTTAGAGACGAGGCAGCTGGAGTCCCTGCCGGAGCGGATGACAATCCGCTGAAGTTGTACTCAACGTTCGACATCGACGTAAGTATTTGATCCCATGGCAGCTGGAGTCGCCCAGTAGGCTCATAGACACAGCAACCTCTGGTGTCTATTGGTGTCGTGTGTTTCCCTAACCATCGCATTCCCTGCTGCGCTGTACCACCTGCACAGTGTGCTTTGTGGAAGTGGCAGGTTGGTTCATTGCCGTGGGGAAATCCAACCCTAGCTGTCATGGCGGACATCATGCACCAGGCAGACCTGGGGATGCTGGACCACATCGTGCAATGCATCCGCGCCCAACACCCAACGATGATGAAAATTCTGGATTTGTGAGTGCCCCTTGGACCACCCGCCTGGACATGCACAATGCTCTATTCAATAAACCATGGCTACAATGTTGGCATGTCAAGCCCACATTTGTGAGCACATGGTAGTGTGTCAGCTCAACTTTATTCCATCCTGATCTGCCGCCCCCCATATCCGAAATCTTTCCATCACACCATACGTAGGCGTCTTCTACGGCTCACCCTGGAAACACGGATCAACTCTTTGCGTTTTCCGAAGAGCGAATACTTCAAAACCGGGGCACAAGTCGCAGCTTTTGAACATCGATCGGTCATGCAGGTATGATGCTTTGAGGCCTAAACCATGGAGTGGTGGAAGGGGGAGGGTGGGAAGAGTGGGGCGAGCTGGGCAGGGATGGAAGAGGAAGGGGAGAGAAGATGGGCTGGTGGAGAGGGCACTGCTATGTTGATTCATGCAAATGTAGTGATGTGACGGTCTGTTGTTAAGCTCGTCTGTAAACTCGCTTGAAGTCATTCATGGGAAGAAGATCCTTCAATCTTTTCTCTCACCTTTCCTACTCACCATGCTGCATGCATCCAGGTGATGATCTTTTTGGTGGCTGACGTTGTCAGCTCGCCCAAGCTGGAGGCCATCAGAGCATACCTTGACTGGTATCTCTGCTGCAACGCCGCCTCTCACACCGAGAGAAGTCTTTCCGAACTACAAGCCAAATCAACAAGGTACCTCACCAAACGATACAACCTAAACCATCTAACTCCCCTAGCGATTCCATCCCTAACACATTGAACGCTTATCCATATACTCCTTCATTTATTCATGCTCCCACCCATCCCAGGCTGGTGAAACTACTCACGACTGCCTTCCCCGAGCAGAAATCAAAGTGGAACCTCATCAAAACACACTTGATGACTCATTTCATCCCTGGAATTCGACGAGCTGGGAATGTGCAAGAGTACAGCACCAACCTCTTCGAACACCTGCATAGCACCCTGCTGAAGCAAATCTACAGGAGATCGAATAAGCGGAAAGTGGACACGCAGATCATGAAGCACCACGAGATGAAGCTTGACTCCATCAGCAACGTGGCCACCGACCAAGGCGTACAAACAGCTATGCAAAAGGTAGGTTCTGTGAGAGGAGGTGCTGAGATGGTGAGTGCGGTGATGGGAGGGTGAGTGCTGAGATGGTGAGTGCGGTGATGGGAGGGTGAGTACTGAGATGGTGAGTGCGGTGATGGGAGGGTGAGTGCTGAGATGGTGAGTGCGGTGATGGGAGGGTGAGTGCTGAGATGGTGAGTGCGGTGATGGGAGGGTGAGTGCAGAGAAGGTGAGTGCGTTGATGGGAGGGTGAGTGCGGTGATGGGAGGGTGAGTGCTGAGATGGTGAGTGCGGTGATGGGAGGGTGAGTGCTGAGATGGTGAGTGCGGTGATGGGAGGGTGAGTGCTGAGATGGTGAGTGCGGTGATGGGAGGGTGAGTGCGGTGATGGGAGGGTGAGTGCTGAGATGGTGAGTGCGGTGATGGGAGGGTGAGTGCTGAGATGGTGAGTGCGGTGATGGGAGGGTGAGTGCTGAGATGGTGAGTGCAGTGATGGGAGGGTGAGTGCTGAGATGGTGAGTGCGGTGATGGGAGGGTGAGTGCAGAGAAGGTGAGTGCGGTGATGGGAGGGTGAGTGCGGTGATGGGAGGGTGAGTGCTGAGATGGTGAGTGCGGTGATGGGAGGGTGAGTGCTGAGATGGTGAGTGCGGTGATGGGAGGGTGAGTGTTGAGATGGTGAGTGCGGTGATGGGAGGGTGAGTGCTGAGATGGTGAGTGCGGTGATGGGAGGGTGAGTGCTGAGATGGTGAGTGCGGTGATGGGAGGGTGAGTGCAGAGAAGGTGAGTGCGGTGAGTAGGAGTGCCTGGCGGGACAGCTCGGGCTGAGTGGCAAGGAAAGTTTGCTGGCAGGTCCTTGGTGGGTAGCAGGGGAAGAGTTAGCTCAGGGCAGGAGAGGGGGCAGTGAAATGAGGAAGTGCAGGGCAGGGAGTGGAGCAGGGGAAGGGGGAGAATGGTGTGCTCGTTGCTGCTGGTTGCTGCGATTCAGAGATTTGTTTCCAATCTCTGCCTTTTCTGACACGTGTCAGGCCATCGAGGATGGAGCTCGGGTGATGGTGAAGGAGTCCTACTTCTTCCCCGTGAAACCCGATGACGTCACTCCCATTGCCAACTGGTTTGTCCGTGAGTGGGCGAAGCTCCACAGCGAGGCACACCATGCCTTTGCGGGTGCATTGCTTCGACGCCAGCTGAGGCCAACAAAAGTTCGTGTAAGTGGTGACAATGGTGACATCAAGCAGATACCATATGTAACTGAATGTTATTTGTACTGATTTGTGTCTCTTACTGGTTGCAGGCTCACACAACACTTGCCATCCCTGCTGCAGAAGATTCTAGTTTCGCCCGTGTAGCACATTTCGTGAAAGCAACCCCGCTGTTTCACTCTAGGCCGTGGTTCTCTGATGTTGCCATCGTGGGAACAACGGCGACTGGTGCAGAGACAGAGTGGTGCGGAAGGCTCTTGTTGCTGTTCCATACGAAAGAGAGGGGGTGCACGAAGGAGTGGGCATATGTAAAGTACTGGTCAAGCGCAGGTGAGGATGCAAAAACAGGGTGCAAACATCTTAGGTGGGCAACTGGGGTATCGCGCTACTCAGTGATTGACACTGAAAGCATACTGCGCCAGGTGCACATTATCAAGTCTTACCACAGCGACAATGCATTCTATCTTAACAAGTACCTGCTAAATTAGAAATAAATCATAAGCGCATCTGTACTTTTTCCATATACAACCAAACTGGTTTTGTAATAAGAGGCAAGATTACATGCAATAACAACTTATGACTTTACAGGTTATATATTTACATGCACATGTGATTGTTTAACCAGCAGCCTTTCAATATTATAATACATAATAATGACTTCATGTAAAATTTGTTTTAAATAAACACTGTAGGCTTATCTTGGTCCATAATTACTCCTATCCGAAACCAATTTTGCAGGGCCCAAACGCGCCCTATCACCACGTCTGGTCGTGCGCCAAGCAAAGCTGTGGCTCGGTGACCCAGAAATGTTTGCGGGAAACCAACGCACCCCATTCTCGAAACTGCGATTTCAACCTGATCAAAAGAGCACTGTACACCTGACATTGACCGAAACTGGGCCAATTTCGCTTCGCCGAGGCGCACAATGTCTCGGGGTCGGTTCGGATGCGCGAAAACAGATCGAAATTTGAGAACGACACATTTTCGCTGGTGGTTGGGCGAAAAAATTTGGACAACCCACACAACCCAACTTCCGAAACCAATTCGACCCGTTTCCAAGCGATTCAAAAGCGAGGGGTTTTTGTGATGGGGGAAGTCATGGCTGGAAGTCCCAGACAGCCGTGTCACGTTGCCAGTGACGCCTCAACCACCGAAATGTCCCCCGAAAGTCACAAAACAGTCGCGTTTCCGTGACTTGGAGTGTCACGGAAACGTGACTGTTTCCCCACATTACTGTGCCCACACCGTCTGTACATTATAACTCACCCAAACATCACATTAAACCATTGGGGACACGTCAGCACACACGTGGAGTACAGAGACATCTCCGCGTAACAACTACAACACCGACCAGCAGTACGTACGCCACGTGTCCCAATGAGTCCGCTAATCTGGAAGCGACACTTGTCCTCGCCCCCAATCCTCATTGACGGCCCAGATGCACCACAGTGCATTCCACATCAACGACTGACCCACGTCCACTTATCGCACTCACCAACCGCCATGTTACTGTCCATGCCGTCGATATGACCACACCTGTGCGGTCAAGATTTCACCCACTCCACCAATGCGTTTTCGCCACCCACCCGCGAATCACATCTGGCCGTTCATCCAACGAATATTGACGGCCAAACCGCCCCCCCATTCGACACAATATTCGCGGTCATCATCTACGCCGTAGACGTCAATCACATCGTCGAACTAGGACGATGTTACCAGGGTCCACCCACGGCCAAGATGCGCAGAGCCAAACGAATCCAAACCACCATCTGCCCGCGATCCAAGGGCCTCTGTTGTGCCACCCGGAACACTATCATTGCATCTATCGCTCGGAGATCTACGGCGCACCGAGGTCCTTCAACAATGCGCGACCATAAACCCTCATGCGTCGCCCAATTGCCGTCCACCATATCCCGGGTGTTACCTCTCGCCAAATGTAAAGCGACGCAGCCCAGCCTCTCACTCTTCTCCACATAACTTGGTTACAAAACATCTGGCCCGTCCATCATTGGCCCAGCATACCACTACAACCCTTCATCGCGCGACGCGGTGCGCCGCCGCGCAGTCATATCAACATCCGACCGTAGGGTTTAGATTAGTGCGATTCGACCACAAATATCAGCCGCCCAGAACTCATCCTTGCTGCGCGTATGCAATGTCTATGGTTATACACAAGGTTGTTAGGCAAGGTGTCCACGTCGTGCGATAAAAGCAACATACATTGAATTATTCCCAACTATGAAAACGAATAACGCACTCACATCCTCACCTGTCCTACTACACAACACCCATCACTAATGATAGTCGCATCCTACGCACGGAAACCCACCACATTCTAGGCACAACATTACACGTCTTAATCCCTCCCAAGGCCGAGATGCGCAAACAGACACTTCAGTTCAGAGAGAGATTGTCTCCCTCCCTCACGCTCTCGCTGCCAGCTGGCGCCGCTGTCGCCTGTCGCTCGATGCCGCAGGAAGAAAGGCGCAGGCCATGGCGGCCCCATGCCCACGATGAAGTGGGCGCGTCGTACGCCGGCTGGAACTCATCGACCGCCGCCATAACGTCCGTCAGTGCACACTCGAGGAGCCCGTCTACGATCTGCGCGTTGACACCCGCAGAGTTGGACAGCCTTCCCTTGCGTGTTTCCCAGAAGCGGATGGCATCCGTCACCTGCACGAGACAAGTAACGAGCGGGGTTTAGGATTGAACCCAGTCACATTCAGGGTCGTGCCAGTTGTGAACCACCATCGCCCACGATAAATTCCCTACCACGTGCTCGAGCCACGCCATGTGGTACAGCTTCAGCGTCACAGTGCCGTTGATCATACGAGGCCTGAAGGCCGCGCGCGCACATGCTATGAAAGTCCCTGACGCAAAAGGCATGCCGCAGCGGTCCTCGCTCCACTTGGAGATATAAAAAACCTATGCGTACACACAGGTGACTGTCAGGCCTCGTCACACAGACCTGCGGTGCATTTCAAAAGGTGACTTACCCTCCCCATCCAACGTCAACGCAAGTCGCTCCCGGACCCTCGCCGCCGAACGTGCCCTAGGTGCCGCCCACGGGCTTCGAGCGTCCCGTTCGTCGCGGAAAAGCCCCAGCTTCGGCAGCGCAATGTCGCGCACGCGTCCAGCAGCCGCCGTCTTCCAGTCGCTCAGTGTGCGGTTGAGGTCGGAGCGCCTAGCCTTGTTTGCCGCTAGAGCCAGACTGGCGAAAGGGAGGGGCAGGTTCTCGATGACGGCGCACAAAGCTGCCGTCTTTGCCGCGCTGCTCGGGTAGAAAGTCATGGACTTGCTGTCCGCCGCGATGAAGAGATGCACACGCAACTGCTCGCATATCTCCTGCACGTGACAAGGACCCAAACAACTCATATTGACACCGTTCAACCTACGCGACACCCGAAGCCAGGCAAGATGTCAACCGCGAAAACACCCAGACAGCACGTGCCTTCCATCCTTTGTTAGACGGCAGAAACTTCAGCGCGCCCTGGATAATGGGCGAATTGGACTGTCGCATGTGCCTCCAGTGCTCTTCTTCCACCTCGTCCTCGTCCAGTTCGGACTCTTCCGGCGTTGCAACGCGACACCCCTTCTTTGCATTCGTCGCCCTATCGCAATCGACTCGCGCTTTGTCCCTCTTCCGCTTCTTTGCAGTGTGGTTGGCAAGAGACGCCAACAGCGCCGTCTCGAGCCTCGCAAGGGTCGCAGCCGTGTCCTGTTGGGTTTTGCGCATAGCGTCAAACTCCACCCTCATAACAGGGGCCGAGTCAGAGCGTTCCTCATTAGTTTCCTCTGCGTTGTCGTCGGCAGCAGCATTGACACGCGGAAGCGCTTCGTTCGGGTCGTCATCGCTTGACTCGGGCTAGGGTTCCGGTGGCGGCGCGTCCGCCTCTTCCTCCGCACCAGGCAGGTCCGATACTTTGCGACGCTTTTCGGGCCTAGCCTTGCTCCCATTACCAACAGACGCGCATGGTCCTTCCTTCCGCCGAAGCGTCGCAGTACCACGCGACGCGGAGCTCTCGCCCTCACGTGCGTCGGTCGGGTTGGGCTCCGGGGAGGACGCTGCACATACACATTGCGTGACGTTCAATCATTGTAATAGCGAAGGGACATTGCCACCCATCGTGTCCTACACATACAACTATATCAGGTATAGCTGTACGGATTAATAACACCATGTCAACACTTACACCGATCAGAAGTCATGCTTGTCGGTGCACGTACAACCGCCTTCTTATCCCTCGCGCCCCATGCCTTTGGCACCGGAGGCCGCCTGGATGTCCCTGGCACCACATAATGAGTGAGGTGTTTGGGAGGCATGGACACTCGCTGACGTTTCCCCTCCCTGGACGCTCAAATGCTGTCGTTGCCACTATCCATCTTGGCATTGTTTCCTGGACGGATGGTGTCCAGAATGACGCTTGTACTACGTTTTGTGCACAACAAGCGTGATGAAGGTGACGGTGTTCACAGTTAGGCGTACATTGACGTGGCATTGGAGCTTCCAGACGGAAATCCAACATCCAATTGTCAATCGACACCAAACCACATCCTGTTATCGTCAAACTTTGGAGTCCTTCGTGTCCAAACCACGGCCTGTCAAACTCACCCACCTACATCTCGCAAAGTCACGTTCGTGTAACACATTATAGCATACACAAACACATTCACAAAAATATTTCTTCTGACAATGTTCCCATTGCAAAACTTAACATCACAACTCCTTATTCAGTATGGAACACAACGACCGACTCAGATGCAAGACACACTAACCTACATCCACACCGATGCTTCACAATTCAAGGAGTGCGCATGTCGTCCGCTTCACCATCCGACCCTGCTCCAGGGGAACCTTCTACGCTCTCCCCATCCGCATCACCCGCTTCGCCAGGTGCGTCCACACTAGTGCCTTCGCGGGGAGCCTGAGAGTTCGCCTTGCCACTCTTCTCCAGCTCAAAAGGTGTGCCTGGCTTGACCCCTATGTCATCTATTGCCTTCCGCCATTCCCTCCACCGATACCACTGCCGTTTATGCATGAGGTGACGCACGTCATCCTCAATGCACCCCTCAAGCGCAGCCATCTCACCCGCGTTCAGTTCCATGACCTTGGGAAAGGTGTCCTTCCTCCGAATCACGAATGCTCCAGCGGCGTAAGCGTAAGCCGCGTCCTCCTCCCTCTGGTATGCGCCCAGCCGAACCTGACGCCATGTGCTCGGATCGGCCGTTAACTTTGTGCACCACTTCCTGACACGCGTCTCAAACCAGACTCCAGTGTACTCGCTCGTGCCACCCCTCTTCTTCTCCCCTATGCCAGCACCCGCTTTTGCCCTCGCCGCTGCAGACCGTGTCTTTTGCATCTCACCGACCTGACCCTTCCCTGGTGAGGTATCAGGTGTGTTCGAGCCGTTCATCTCCGCGCTTTCTATGCGCGCCTTGAGGGCCGCGTCGGTCTCATCCTGATGTTTGTGGGACCATATCGCGGGGGAAGGAGGTAGAGGCTCTGGCTTCTCGTGCAGCATATCGGCCAGCGTCTCCTTGCAGGCCTGACGCTCCGCCAAGTTCTCAGCCGCATGTGATCGTACGAGAAGAGGCGTCCCACACGTGCCCAGCTCGTGAGCACATGCTGCCCGGAGCTCATTTAGGTTGTACCCCAACGCCCTGGCTATGCTCGTGATCGCCGAGGCCATTACGAACCCGTCCAGCTCCATGTTGGTTCGATCACGCGATAGCCATGCCAGTTCCAGGCGTACGTCATCTCCCCTTGGGAACAGCAGCACCCCCTGGTCACCGACTACTGGAATCGGCTGAAGGGGCACCACAACCCCCTCCATTAACAGTTGCACCATCAGCTCTCCAGCGGCGAGTCTGCATACATCGGCGCGCATGCCGCGTCTGAAGTCTTTCGCTGTAACATCGTCGCATGACACCCACTTGCAAACCGTGGTGAAATCCGATCTCACGAGAGCTTTCATGTACATGCACACAAAAACCCCACAATCCTTGTTGTTGGTCTGCTGCGGAATCACCTCTTTCTGCCAGGATGGTATAGTGGGTAAGAGTCGTCAGAAGGCAATACATGACAACACTCCAACACAATACATCGGTTCGCCATAACAGCGCGGATTTTACGACTTCAATATAACTTACCGGTATGACGATGTGCTCAGCTTCCCGCACCATCGCAGCAGCCTTGCCAGGGTTGTCTGTTGGCAGCTGCGTCTCGTGAATCATGAGCAGTGACTTGTGTCATGCAGACGCAATAGTGAGTCGTGTTTGCGTCAAATACCTGCGTACATGGAGATGCACAATAACACTACGCACTTACTTCCTCACACCCGCGATGACAGATGGGTCCCTGGCGTGCATGCCGCTGCTATCATAATGCATCAGCTTGACACCTTCCGTCACCCTGTCGCCCCGTTTGCCTGACGACATGCTCGCAAGGTTGAGGGCTATGACCAGCGAGAAGTGGCTCCTGTCCAGGCAGCAGAGGGCAGGCCAAGATAATGAGGTCCGAGTTGGGACCGGTGTGCAAGGCTATACAGGCGTCCATACTTTGCACCCACCTTGCAATGATAGGTATGGCCACATATTCCACGTCGAAAATACACGGAGCCCCTCCAATAGGCCATGTCTTATCCAGTTGCGTAGCGTACACGAAGGATTTGGTGTCGAGCGGGAACCAAGTCTTTCCGTCCTTCAGTTTCGGATGTCGGATGTTGAGGAGGCTGCATGCGCAAACACAACACTCAAATCAATGGTCAGATACATGCGCAAAGGAGGACGAAACCACGCCCGTACAACGCCATGTTATCTCTTACATGTTGTGGAAGTCCACGATGGTGTCGGCGAGATACTTCCCGTCTGCGGTAGTTAGCGCATCCTTCGCCCTGATCTGACATCCAACCCCGTGAGGGCCGAAGAGGGAGAGAGTTTTGAAATCTCGACGCGCAGCAGGATCTCGAAGCCTCTTGATCAAGTCGTCTGGCCGGTCGTCTACGGGCGACCCACTGCCTCCGACGTTCCACCCCGATGCAGTTGACCGGGGCTCGCGCTTCTCACCCGCGCATTTATGCACGCCGCCATCATGGTCAGTTGTCACCGTTCCAAGTGGGCAAGTAAGCATACGGTTCAAAAGGCCCGTGACGTGAGGACCGCGTGGCGGAGACCCTTCCCTGTCCTCGCGCTTAAGTCCCCGTCCACGAATTCTCATGGTGCCGGACGCAACTGTCAAAGGACGGAGTGGATTTGGCCAGATGCGAGTTAGATAGGACAGGCAGAAGCATGAGACTGTCAAATGTTGTAGCCTGTAGTGAGGTTTGTCTTAGGGGGTACAGAAGTTAGGGTTTGTCATATGTACCCCAACAAACATCAATGCAACATCCATTCCTCATTCTGACATGGTATCAGCTAGGTTAGGATCCTGTGGGATCCCGTTCCTCCGTTCTCCGTTCGTACCTCCCGAGCCTGATCCTACCTCTCGTTCGTACTAGTTTAGTTGTTACCGCGCCTAGTACCGAGCCTAACATCATCTCCCCCGTCGCGTCGCACCCGTTCCCCCCGTCGCGTCGCGCCCGTTCGCCCCGTCGCGTCGCGCCCGTTCCCCCCGTCGCGTCGCGCCCGTTCCCCCCGTCGCGTCGCGCCCGCCTGTTCCCCCCTGTCCCGTCGCGTCGCCCTGCCCTGTCCCGTCGCCCTGTCCCGTCGCGTCGCCCTGTCCCGTACCGTCGCCCTGTCCCGTCGCGTCGCCCTGTCCCGTCCCGTCGCGTCGCCCTGTCCCGTCGCGTCACCCTGTCCCGTCCCGTCGCGTCGCCCTGTCCCGTCCCGTCCCGTCCCGTCGCCCTGTCCCGTCGCGTCGCCCTACCCCGTCGCGTCGCCCTGCCCTGTCCCGTCGCCCTGCTCCGTCGCGCCGCCCTGCCCCGTCGCGTCGCCCTGTCCCGTCGCGTCGCCCTGCCCCGTCGCGTCGCTCCCGCCCTTTCCCCCGTCGCGTCGCCCTCCCTAGGCCCTAGCCCGTCGCCCTCCCTAGGCCCTGGCCCGTCGCCCTCCCTAGGCTCTGGCCCGTCGCCCTACCCTAGGCCCTGGCCCGTTGCCCTACCCTACGTTTTGGCCCGTCGCCCTAGCCCGCTCTTCCGCTGCGACTGAGTCCTCTTCCCCCCCGGTTGTTACTCGCCTGTTCGTTCGCGTTGGTTCTCACTATGGCGACTCCACGAGTTCTTCGTTTCGACGCTGACGGTAGACCCCTTGACTTTTCCGTCTGGCTTCTTCGCGCTCGTCGTCTGTTAGAGAGTCAGGTCCAAGGGGGCGAGACCCTCTGGTCACACGCTACTGGTGACCTCCCCGAGCCCCCCGAGCCTACCGCTTTAGGCCCTGCTCCTGACGACGCTGCTACGGCTCGCTTTGCCCGTCAGCGCGCTGACCGGACGGCTTGGACGTCGCGTGACGCTGCGGCCTGCATCGCACTCAGCAGCCTCCTCCCTGAGTCCGAGGAGGTCCACTTTACTCAGGTTTGCACCGCTGCTGCGTACCTCACTGCGATTAAGGCCCGCTACTCTACTCCCGCTACTGTCTCTCTCGGCCGTCTTTTCCTCCCGTTCCTGTTTCCTGATCTTGCCTCGTTTGAGCGCTCTGCTGACTTGATCGCTCACCTCCGCTCGCTCGACGCTAGTTACCGCGCTGCTTGCACTGAGGCACAGCTTGCACTGCTTCCTCCCCCCATGGCGATTACTGTCTATTTCATCGCCACTAGCCTCCCTGACCGCCTTGCCTCCGTTCGTGACGCGCTTCTGCTGAAGCACCCTAGTGAGCTGACTATCGAGGTCCTTGAGTCTGCACTCAAGGACGTCGAGAGCAACCTTCGTTCGGTAGCTGCCGCCTCTGGTACTGTGTCCCCCCCACTCTTCCACGGGTGCACAGTCCCGCAGTTACCCACCTTCACTGCCTCTCTTGCCACTGCTGCTACTGACGCGACTGCGGCTGCTGTTACGACTGCGTCGCGGTCCCGCGGCAGGGGGGGCAAGAAAGGTGGTTCCGGTGGAGGTGGAGGTGGAGGTAGCGGAGGTAGTGGGGGTGCTGTTGCGACTGGCGGTGGTGGGAGTGCAGCGTCTGGAGAGACCCCTCGTGCAGCGGCTGGTGACTCCACTGCACCTGCTGGTGGCGGCGACCCTCGAGCTCGTCAGTCGCCTCCTGTACTGCCGGCCCCGCTAGGTGGAGCAGCGGCGTGGTACCAGGCTCAGCGTCAGCAGCACCTTCAGCAGCAGCAGCAGCCCCTTTCCTCCCAGCAGCCTCAGCAGCAGCAGCGTCAGCAGCTGGCTCCGGGGTCGGGGCTGCGTCAGCCCCAGCGCGGTGCGGCTTACCCTCCCTGCCCCTACCAGGTTCAGACAGGTCCTCGTCGGGGCCACCCTTGTGGCCGCTTTCACCCCCCTGGTCAGTGCTTTGCTCAGCTCACTGACACGGTCCGGTTGACCTACGGGGTTGGCGGTCCTGCTCCTGACTGGCTTCCTCTGGTTCAGCGCCACGGCTCCGCTCTGTGGGGCATGTCCGCTGAGCAGTTAGTTGATCTGATTAGTGCTCCTCATGCTATGTATGCTGTTGTTGACTCTAGTGTTTCTGACTCTGTTTACTCTGGTGTTGTTAGCTTAGGTGCTAGTCTTGCTCAGTTGCCTGTTGCTAGTGTAGGTACTTGTGTAGACTCTAGACCAGCGACTACCTCAGAGGACGCTTCGCTGTCGTTCACACTGGACTCTGGAGCCTCCCACTGCTTCTTTCGGGACAGCACGACACTTACACCACTTCCTGCGCCTGTTTCTGTAGCGTTGGCTGATCCCACTACGGGACCAGTCACTGCACGTCACACTACCACTTTACCGTGTCCTGCTGCTCCCTCCGGGTCTCTCACTGGGTTTCACGTCCCCTCGTTCTCCCGGAACTTGGTGGGCGTGCGACCCCTCGTGAGTCAGCACGTGGGTGTGTGGTTTGAGCCTTCTGGAGAGACTGCGGTGTGTGTTGACGGAGACTCTTACCAGCCTCTTGCTACCTTTCCTGCTGAGCCGGGCTCGGGTCTCTACACTCTTCACACTGGCCCGCGTGCGCCGCAGCAGCAGCCGCAGCAGCAGCAGCAGCCGCAGCAGCAGCAGCAGCAGCAGCAGCAGCAGCAGCAGCAGCAGCAGCAGCAGCAGCAGCAGCAGCAGCAGCACCAGCGGCCGCACCAGCAGCCCCCCCTACTGCCACTGCCCCCGGTTCCCCCCCCCGTTCGGGTCCCCGCGTCTCACCAGGTTCCTACGTCTGTTCCAGTCGCTGCGTCGTGCTCCTGCCGGTCGCTTGCCCACCCCACCATTCTGTGGCACCACCGGATGGGGCACCCGTCCCTTCCACGTCTGCGCGCTATGTCTAGTCAGCGTCTTGTCCTAGGCCTCCCACGTGTCTTGCCGTCGCTGCCGCCTTCGCCTGCGCCGCCGTGTCGTCCCTGCGTCGAGGGTAGGCTGCGCGCCACCCCTCACTCCTCCTCCCTTCGTCCGGCCACCGAGCCTTTTGAGACGCTTCACTTGGACGTCTGGGGCCCAGCCCCTCGTCTAGGCCCTGAGCGTGAGCGTTACTTTCTGGTGGTAGTTGACGACTTCTCCCGCTACACCACAGTGTTCCCTCTGGCGAAGAAGTCTGAGGTGACTTCTACGCTGATCAGGTGGTTGCTCACCACTGAGGACACTCGTGGTCGTCGTGTCAGCTGTCTCCACTCCGACCGTGGGGGTGAGTTTCGCTCCGGCATTCTCGCTGGATTCTGTCGCGAGCAGGGCATTCGTCAGTCCTGGACGCTTCCAGAGTCCCCACACCAGAATGGGGTTGCTGAGCGCCGCATAGGCCTGGTCATGGAGATCGCCCGCACCTCCCTGAC